TACCCTTGAACAAGATAACCAATCAAGCATCCTATGGTCTAAACTCAAAAAAAAAAAAAAGGACTGCAAAAAAGTGACGTGAGGCCACAGATTATTGAATGCAAATTAAAACCAATTAGGGTCATCAAAGACCCTACACAAAATTTTAAATTGTTTAGAACGAACTGCCCATTATTGTTGACTAAAACGTTTAATAAATAATATGGATCACTCATGTGCGGGATGCAAGGCATGCATCCTCATTAATTTCCGCTGATGCATGCATCGTGTTGTTCCCTTGAATAGAGATATGAATTTTGCATATGCTTCCCCTGTCATTTGTACTTTGACCATGTTATGTTATTAAGATTATTCCATTATCTAGCTATTGCCACTCTAAATAATTGGAACTGGCCTGGGTTTCTAGTTTCGGAAGAAATTTCCTTCATTCCTTTGAGCAAAGTGATTTAATATCCATAATAATCCATAATATATTCCAAATAAGTTTGGACATTTATGCATAATAGAATCTACCCTATCCTAGAAAATATGGTGATTTGAGCCGAAAGAGTAGGCGGCTGACAGCCAGTCCTCAGCCACTGTTCCCATTGCAATATGCTTCCCATTTTTCTCCTATGTCTTTAAATTTTGACATGTATAATTCCAACTATTATTAAAAAGGAGAAGAAGCACACATCAATACATCATTAAACTAAAATCAATGCATGGGTTACTATGCTAGTTTTAAGAAAAAGAGAGAAATCAAGTATCAGTTCCTCCATTAATCTTGTATTTAATAATAAGCATGTGCCATACCAGCAGGGAAAACTCAGACAAGCATGGCATTGAAATTTGCCTTTTAAGAACTGCTAAGCAAGGGAAGGACTATGCTATGCAAGGCTAGTGGTGGACTGGTAGTTACCCTAAAATAACAAAAAATATATTATGATCACCAGGACACCAACTCAACATAAAGATCCATCTGAAGCTTTTAGTAAATGTTATTGATTGATCTCCCTTTCTTTATGCGCTCTAAAAGAACGAGGCTGGATCGGTGTCCTTGAGTTTCAAGACTATAACCCTACACCAGTAAAACATAGCTGGCAAATTACAAAAGTTGTGGTGAGATACTGGCCGGAGTACAGATCTAGCCTGGAAATTTCAATTGTTGTGTTTCATGGACTTAGCTTAACAATAAACCTAATTATTACTATGACAATCCATCAAGGTAACAGTAGTTACATAAGAAGGTTGTAATTAACAATAAACTCTATGATAAATAATACAACTTGATACAAATGATCAAAGAGAGTAATTAAGAAAATAATGATGGATTTTATATGTGTACCCTTAAGTCTCAGCGTAAGTTGCCCGAGCCTCTTAAGAATAAAAAAGGTAACCCTGGTAGGTGAAAAGTCTTTAAGCACGGCTATACAATTCCAAAGTCCAATGAACACAGCTATAACCACCTTCATTTACTCGATCATTTAGCTAACTAATCCTCGTTACCTTCAATTTTTTATGGAAATTTACTCAGGTCAACCGTCTCTGCTAAACCTTTTAAAGCTGCTGGTTTAAAATAAAACCAACAGCGTTAAAATTATCAAAATAAACTTCTATCTTATTAGCGTAAATTATAACTTAATAGGACAGTATTAGACACACTAACATACACAAATTTTATGTGAAATATGAATTTTGACGTAAGAAGACAAGGAGAAATGTACCACGATTTCCAAAAAGTCAAGTTCTGCTCCAACAAGCCTCGTTAAAGAAAGAAGAAATTCCTTCTCTTGAGAGGTATTATTATATATACCCAATTGTGTAAAAAAAAAACCCATTATATTAATTTTATCGATTTTGGAGGAAGGTGAAGGTGTGCAACTCACGTTTCCTCCTAAATCTATATATTTTTTATTTTTTTTGTTTTTTTTGTTTATTTTTTTTATTATATAAATTAAAAAAAAAAACTAATAGAGGTAAAATAATAAAATAATTTGTATCCAATTAACTTTAATTCTACTTAATTTAATTAGTACATTTTCTTAAATCAAGAATCGATTGAGAATTTTTTTTTTTTAAATCAAAGTCAGATCAAAAATAAATTTAAAATATTTCATCCTTTCTTCAATATATATAAAAATATTTTTTTATTATTTATTTAATTTTATATTTAAAATAATATTATGTTAATAAAATTATTATTTAATATTTTAATTTAATAAATTCACATACTTTTTTTCCTTTTCTTTGTTTTTGTTTTTTAGTTTTTAGCTTTTTCAATTAGATAAACTTTGTAAAAAAAATCAATGAAAATAAGAAAAACAAAATAACTTATATATGATGAGTTTCAATTTTGTGAAAACCCATAACCTAATTATAAGGTATTATTCATTTTAATTTAAAAATTTTATAATTTTATCTTACAAAAAATATCTCACAAGTATATTTTAAATCTCTACTTACATCTCATAATAGATCTCTCAAAAAATTTTGATGTGAAATTGAGATGTTATTGATTTACCCTAATCTAACAAAATTTTTTTTTTTTAAATCTAAGATTTAGTTGAGATTTTTTTGAAAATAATGTCGGATTAAAGGTGAATTTATGGTATTCCATCATGTCCTAAGTATATTAAAAAGTATATTTTATTATTTATTAAATTTATATTGATATATATTATATTAATAAAATTATTATTTAATACTTTATTTTAATAAAAATATATATTTATATATAATTAAGATATAATTTATATTAAAAATAATATTTTTATAAACATTATATTAAATATCGAATTGATTTTTGATCTTAGGTCAAATGTTGGTTATATATATATATAGATATATATATATATATATAAGATAGGCGAAATTGGGTATGGATATTAATAAATAGTAACTCAATATTGGGTTGAAATCAAAATCGAGACAAATTATTAAAAAGATGAGTCCGATATGGGGTGATCATATACCTATCTTAACAAGTTGCCATCCTTAAATGCATCTGTCCATTAAACACCCTTATTAATTTATTTTTTTTTTTTTTTTGCTTAGGTTTTTTTTTTTTAGTTTTAACTTTTTTTATTTTTAATTATCTATTTTAGTATTTTTAACTATGTTCAAAAAAATAAATTGGCAATAAAAGTGTCTAGCACCCATTTTGCTTTTTTTTTTTCCAACCTTTTCCTTTGTTTTCTTTTCAACCCTTTCCTTTGTTTTTTTAGTTTTTTTCTTTTTTTCTTTTTTTAAATAAAATAAATTTTGTAAAAGATGAAGTCCATGGAGGTTAAGATGTTAAAACAACACATATTTAAATGGTTTTGATCTGTTAATCCAATAGGGATAATTTTTTTAAATTAAAGTCAAGTTGAGTTAAGACGATTTTTTTTTTTTAAATCGAGATCTAATCAAAGTTAAATTTAGAGTGTTTTATTCTACCTCATCTCAAGATATATATAATATATATATATCTAGGAATATATATTTTATTTATTTAATTTGATTTATATATTTTAATAGTAATAAATTTATTATTTAGTATATTTATTTAATGAAATATTATATTTATATATAACTAAAATATAATTTATATTGAAAAATTATATTTAATGAATGTTATATTGTTGAATCGAATTTTGGTCAAATGAAACTAAATGCGAGTTATACATATATATGTAAGATAATTATCAAATATAAAAGATAATAATTTAATATCGAGTCAAAGTCTAGATGAATATAAATCTGCTCCTACTCGACTTATTACTATACTTAAGTGAAAGTATCCACATGATATTCCTATTTAGTTTTTTTTTTTCTTTTGTTTAAGCCTTTCCCTTTTTTTTTTTTAATTTTAGGTTTTTAATATATTTTAATTATATTTAAAAAAATAAATTTGAAAGAATAGATTTGTATTTGAATTTATTTTAAAATTATGAAGATGAAATGCATATATTATCTATAAATTGATTAATATATTTTCAATAATCATTATTTTTATTAAAAAATTATAACAAAATTATATTCATTAATTTATTAAAATCAATATTATTAAATATAAATAAAAAAATTTTTACCCACAAGCGCATGCCGCTTCCAGTAATAATAATAAAGAAAAGAAGTTGCCATCGCAACGGGTGGTGACAGAAATAGTTTTTTTTAAGCCTATTCCTAAATTTAATGGCTGCAATCTCTTGCGCCTTCTTATTCATTAATTTCTTAATACTAGATCAATGAATCTGTCTAAATTTCAGCTTGATTTTGTTTTTTTTTTTTTTTCATGATATTATATATGTTAGTATAGCATTAGTATTTGAATTTTAGGCTTGATGTCTTTATGTTATGTTTTGTATAAAAAATTATAGTAGAATAAGGTTAAATAATATTATAGATAAAATTAAATTAAATAATATCATTTTATTTTATATTTGATATATATAAAAATTAAAATATAATAATTTATTTATAGATAAAATTTATTTTTTTAAATTTTATATAATTTAAATTATTAATATAATTTTTAAAAGTATGATAAAATATGTAAATTTAATTTTATAAATTAAAAAAAATTTATTTTAAAAAAATTATATTAAAAGAATAATTAATTTTTATTATTTTATTATTTTTTAAATATAAATTAAATATAATATAAAATAATTATTATTTTATTTGATTAATTGTCTTATACATTAAATATAATTTTAAAATTTAGCCGCCCTTAAACGTACATTTATCGGACTGGTTCAAACTTATCCAATTTATTTTTATTTATTTATTTTTGAAATTATTCAGTTTATGGATTTGTACTTTTGTGGAATTGAACAGGATGCGTATCGGTATCATTGATGTAAAAAGAAAGGAAAAAGAAAAAGGAAATTGCATCCAATCTGAGAAATGGGACAAGATGCCAAGTGGAGCGGCCCAAGTCCAAGTGTTAAACTTCAACTTTAGGCTTCAGGTACCTTACCGACCAAGTTAAGTACCTGGCACAGATCCAACTACAAGACATGTCACAAAACAACCACATATCAGTTGCCCCCACATGTTTGTGGCGGGCGGGTTATCATGTGAATTGAATAATCATACGACTCTGGATCCCATGATTCTTAGTATGATCCTGCTCACACCATAGCATAATTCCTTCATTTGATTTAACTAGTATTTTTCCTAAACGTATTAACCAAAGCCCTAAACTTTATTTTTTTTATCTTTCGTCAAAATAATAATTATAATAATAATCTCGAAGTTTGAGAATTGAGATCATCGTTCTACGCCAAAACCCAGAAAAAAAAAAGGTATTGCTTTGTTTCAATTATTGTTTGGATTGATAAGGAATTAATGGCTGAATTTGTCTTCTTTGATTCTTATTATTACTGTTTGATTTTATGGTTTGATGGTGAGATATTGGTTGATTGTTTTCTTTTTTTTTTTCAATCTTCAACTAAAAATCTTCCTTTTTTAGTGAAAATTTGTCCCATTTATTTATTTTCCATAATGAATATAGGATATCTATCTATGCTTGCATTTGAATTGATATGAATTGTATTTGTGTGCAGTAGCTGGAAAATATGAGCTTTTTGCTATTTCTTATGTATTGGAAGTGTAAGCTTTTGAGGGTTTTTTTTTTTTTTTTTTTTTGCAGGATTTAATTTCGAGTTTTGACAAATATTTGCTAAATTTTGATTAAGGTTCCTTAAGATATTTTTGATACATCCTTTTGGTATTCTTCAGTTAGTCTCCTTAAAGATAGGGAAAAAAAAAGCCTAGGAATGCTGAAAGATGTGCCTCATCGTTCAAAACTCTATCTTTGAAGTTCATGAGCTTACGGCTTTTCAGATCCTGACCTTTTTCATCTTTGATGAGATAGGAGCTATTAGTGATGGTTCATTAACTCACCGTGCGCAAAAGCAGAATAGGCCTATAAGTTCTTCTAGAGTACCTTTTCTGGTAATGCGTGATCTTTGTGGAGGCGGTTGAGCTCGTTATATTACCGATACCTCCTGCTCTGTAAATTATATAGATTGTGCTTGCAGGAGTTAGTTGATCGTTGTTTATATTAGGCTAGCTGGGAATGGAAAATAAACCAAGGGTGTTGACTCAAAGATATGAAATTGGGAGGTTACTCGGCCAAGGTACCTTTGCAAAGGTTTACTATGCTAGGAGTATCCTAACCAACCAGAGTGTGGCTATTAAAGTGATTGACAAAGAAAAGGTCCTGAGGGTTGGGATGATTAATCAGATCAAGCGAGAGATTTCAGTGATGAGAATTGCTAGACACCCTAATATTGTGCAGCTTTATGAGGTAATGGCAACCAAAACTAAGATTTTCTTTGTTATGGAATACTGCAAAGGTGGAGAACTCTTTAACAAGGTTGCCAAGGGAAAGCTAAAGGAGGGTGTTGCAAGAAAGTATTTTATACAATTGATCAACGCGGTTGATTTTTGCCACAGTAGGGGTGTTTATCACCGGGATATAAAGCCAGAGAACCTATTGTTGGATGATAATGAGAATTTAAAGGTCTCTGACTTTGGGTTAAGTGCTCTAGCAGAATGCAAGCACCAAGATGGCCTGCTTCACACTACTTGTGGTACCCCTGCCTATGTTGCTCCAGAAGTGATTAACAGAAAAGGTTATGATGGAGAAGCAGCTGATATTTGGTCCTGTGGAGTGGTTTTATATGTCTTATTGGCAGGTTATCTCCCATTTCATGATTCAAATCTGATTGAGATGTACAGGAAAATTGGCAACGCTGAGTTCAGGTGTCCTAACTGGTTCCCTTCAGAAGCACGCAGGCTGGTGTCTAAGATGTTGGATCCAAACCCCATTACTAGGATTTCAATGTCTAAGATTAGGGGAAGTTCTTGGTTTAAAAAAGGATTGTATGCCGAACAGAAAAAACCTGAAATGGAAAACAAGGAGCAAGCTTCTTTGGATATGGGTGCCTCTGGTCGTTACGAGAATAGCAATGGTGAAGCTGAGACTAAACAAGAATCAGTTCAACCTCCAAACCTAAATGCTTTTGATATCATCTCTCTTTCAGCTGGATTCGATCTATCAGGATTGTTTGAGGGAATGTCCCCAAAGAGAGAAACAAGATTTGCATCGAGACAACCTGCCTCAGTAATCATCTCTAAGCTGGAAGAAACTGCTAGACATTTGGGACTAAAGGTGGGAAAGAAGGATGCAGGTTTGCTGAAAATGGAAGGACTAAAGGAGGGTAGAAAGGGGATCTTGTCCATCGACGCAGAGATCTTTCAAGTGACTCCCAATTTTCATTTGGTGGAGATTAAGAAATCTAATGGAGATACAATGGAATATCAGAAGATACTAAAGGAAGATATGAGGCCTGCCCTCCAAGATATTGTTTGGGTTTGGCAGGGTGATCAACAACAGCCATTGCAACAGCAGGAGCTGCAACAGCAGGAACAGGAGCAGCAGACTGATTCTAGCACTAGCTCCAGCAGCAGCTTTGACAAACGTTCTTAAATTGCCAATTTCCTATGATATCTTATGTTTGTACATTGCCATACTAATACTATGCTTGTTTTTGAACCTCTGTTTTCTTCTTCCTTTGAATGTATTACACCTGTTTTAGTAAAAAAATTACTGTTCTTTGGCAAACGCAACTTAAAATGGCTACCATTTCACCTCGCACTATTATACACAACCTATCTGCTTCAATCTCTGTTTAGCACATTCAACATTGCGGTATGGGATTTTTGCTGTTAGCACTTAGATGATCTTGAGTTTGATGCTATCCTTGTTCATATATTGTTTGACATGATACTTAGATTGAGAAAAAAGTGAGCAGCAGTTTTGCAACCTGTCATATCCCTGTAATAAATACCCAATCAAAATAAAAATTCACCAGAGTTTTGTATCAGTTGGTATCTATATCTTAGATTGAGAACTGTGGAGTCAAGTCACCAAGAACGAATGGCTAAAGGGTTCACCAAGAAAGAATGGCAAAAGGGTTCTCATTATGTTAAAAATTCAGTCTTAATCTTCGGCAGTGGCTTTAGAGTACTTATACCTCAAAAATCATAAAATTTTGGGAGTTTCCAATGCTATTTGAAAGGAAAAACTTCTCTGAAACACGGTTCTCACCATCAGTCTAACTGATCTGGCACCTGTTTTGTCTCCATTGGCTATGCATAGAAACAGAAAGTCAAAGTTAAATGTCTATTAACTTCATGTTTTCGAAGATAAAATCATAACTCAAGCCTCATCGTCACGCTGATTTATCCAGGTATCTAGAATAGCTCCATTATTTTTGTGGCATAGCTACTGTTATGATATTATAATTCTGATTCGTTCTTGATTTATGATTATAAATGGGGAATCAAAATGTTTATGATGTGTGGTTCAAGTGATCACCAAACAGAGCACAAATCTACCTGCCTTTGTAAAGATCCTTGTGGGGTTGATGAAATCTGATTAGTAGGACACTTGGGTTGTGTTTGGATTCATTTTGTCAGGTCCAAAAAGGCGACAAAGTGATATGATAATCATGTGACTGATAGAGTTGTGCCCCCGTGTAGTGAAGCTAAGCGTGTAACCAGATGTCTTCCCTTGATTAATTGCCTTGCTTGTCGAAAGTTCAGATAGATTTATATAAGTAAGCGAAAGTGAAATTCAACAAAGTTAACTGTACGTGCAAGACTTAAAGATTTAGTGGAGTTCCATTTTAAATTTGTTTACGTCATATCAGATAAAAGGTTCAAGCAATTATAAACATATCAACCAAATCTTCAACACTCGTGCAAAGATTCTTTGAAAAGAAAAAAAAAAAGGAAAACTCATTCAAAAATCAATTCCAATCTTACAAATTAAATAGATTTATATTTAATGCATCATTAATATATAAATTTTATACATTAAATTAAATGATATCATTTTATTAATAAATAAATTTTTTTTTAAATATTAATTTTTTATACATTCATATTAAAATTGATATTTATTCGTTAATGACATAACATTATTTGATTTATTAATATAATATAAAATTTATATAATAACAACCCATAAAATATAAACTCTTAAACAATCAATTCAAAATCAAACAAATACTCACCTACCAAATCCAAATCAAACATTCACTCATATTTTATTTTTTTTTAGTGCTATAAAGGGTTTACATACTAAATATTTGAATATTAACATTCATGAACACTCTTAATCTTTTTTAATTGCATGAAACATTTATCTTATAAAGCTTTATAATTTTATTCAAAAGAAATCTTTTTAAATTTGAATGAATATTCCAAACAAAACCATAATTTGTCCACATTATTCGCAACTTTTTACTTGGTGAGTGGTTGCTTCTTTGCAGAGTCCTTAGCTTAGAAGCTTGATTTGAGTTCCTTAATAAGAACTATTCTGGCTGAGAAAAATTTTCACTTTCCTCAGTTGCTCTTATCAGGGCAATATGTGTAAGCAAATATCAAACTGTAATTCACCTCAGTGAGACTTCCCACACGGAAGTTTCCTCTGAAGATTGCCATAATCTGGGAAACCTTAAAAGCACAGGGAATAAGGGGAACGGAAGATTTACAGTCCTCGGAGAAGTTTCACCCAGGCTGCATGATTAACCATCTCATAACGCCCTTTTAATATAACTGCCATAACCAATTTGAGATGCTCCAAAGGTACATATCCAATAAAAAATCAACAGTAAGCACCTTACAATCACCGTTATCAAGCTAGAGATTTCAGACTGAAAAATCAAATGAACTTTTAATTTCAACGTACGCAAGTTCGTTCCTAATATACAATGACGTGATTTCCTCATCAGTAGATACAGAGGATTGCGGTATTTGATGAAAACAGTAACATCTGATCTGATTAATTAGCATTCAAGCAGCAAGGGTGATTTTGTAATGGAATTGAAATAAATTCCCTATTCAGTCCTCCCAGATGATTAAGGATTAAAGAAATTACTCTTGTGAAGCTCCAAGCTCGCCGAGCTTCTTGCAATTTGTGAAGCTCTTATCATATATGCCGCATTTACTTGGGCTCATTCGTGCCCTTTGATCATTCACAATGATTCAAAAAATGCAGTTCTTCGGGCAACAGGTCGTGATACTGTCCCTTGGCGTTCCTAGAGAATGCAACTCATGGCAGATGGTCCTGTAAACTCTGGAGAGAATCACACTGAAAATCTGGTAGCCTGGATTTGACTTCAGAACGGCGCTTCCTTGGAGCATAGTTTGTCCCTCTTATCTCTGTGTCAACTAGCTGATATCGAATGGCGAATTTGGTTGTTTTCTGAGGTATGTCTGCGAATGTTAACCTCTTTAATGAGTTGTTGTGAATGCCTTAAAAGGTTCGACAGAATGTGTTGGATGGGCTTTTCTATCTTTTTTTTTTTCTTTGGTTACTACATTGTTTTAGCCTCAAGTAGACATGAATTAGCTAAACAATTGTAAGGATGGGGGAAACAGAGTTCGAGCTCGTTTTGTTCGGGTCCGTTCATTCTGGTAATGCTTCGGGATTCTTGTTGAAGTTTGTATTTCAACTTCACTTACTAATAAAATTACTGTCTTTCAAAAAAAAAAAAAAAAAAAAAAGAATACTCTTGTGGCCTGCTTAATCCTTCTCTTATCATCATTATTGTGCCAAGCATTCTATACTTGGACAAAGCTCAAGTGAGATTAATCCTTCTCTTATTATCATCATTATTGTGCCAAGCATTCTATACTTGGACAAAGCTCAAGTGAGATCTATGATCTCTGGAGAAAACACAGAAATTCTTTTCTTTTTGGTGTGTGACCTGACTTTACAGACGGGAGGTGGGGTTAATAAATCTATAAATTCGACTTCATCAACAACAGCAGAACTAGGGAGTTGATCTTCAATAACTGCAACTTCAGTTGTCAATGGTTTCAATCTTGTCCATGGTTGTTGATCAACATTGGCTGCCACTAAAGCTGCAAATTGCTTCTGATTCGGACATTCCTTTTCAATATTGCTTATATTGGCAACTTCAGCTGTTTTTCCATTGGATGAGTCCCCTAGTTTTTCACATTCTTCGTAAGTAGTCGACAGTTTCTTTCCTACCAACAGTTGTGGATCTTCATCAGCTTCTACAGCATATGTAAACTGCTTCGTCCTCAAAGACTCCCCCCTAACAGTGCTTGTATCTGCACATTCAGCAGCCTCTACCAAGGGGAGGGCAGTAGCAATTGAGGTCACGTTACTGGTTGGAGAATCAATAAAAACATATGACTCTTTATTATGTACTCCAAGAGTGGATGAGTCCCCTAGTTTTCTCGTTCCATATCCTTCAATGTATTCAAATTGATCATGAGAAGCCTCGTTGATGCTGCTATGAGAATTATTTGCAGAAACATTAACCACCTCATCTGGATATGTTTCCCAAACAGTTTCACATGTATTATTGACTTCATCAAATTCATCTAAGTTATCACAATCATCTTTGTATTCAAACTCATCTTGTTCAGTATAACAGGGAAGCTCATCCATTGAGCAAATTCGAAATTTCATCTGCTCTGGCAAGCTTGGGCAACAAGCAGAATGCTCTCTGTATTTGGTTGAGAAATAGTTTACTGTGATGTTCAAGCTGATCGAAGAACAGCATCACACATTAGTCAACCACCATTAACCTAAGCAATACAGTCTTGGATATAAAGCAAACACATACCTCTGCCAGGCAGGGAGGGTAAGCATCGTATATGCAAGTTTGATCTTATTGGCTACTCCAGAGAAGGATTTAAAAGTTCCAGCTGCTTGCCTTACTGCCAATGATTCTTGAGGGTGCTGCCAGGCCCACTCAAACTGCAGGCATCAACCCATTAGAAAAATTCTATACGTTAGCATCAAACATGGAGCAAAAAGACCATTAGATAGTATTATGAATAATTTAATCTGGAGTTCTGAAATTTTCAAAATTGGAAGCACTGTTCACCACTCAACAATATGTCTGAGGTAAGATGAACTTCTTACAAAGTGTCAACAAGCTGACTTTTCACCAGCACTATTGAAAAACCACATTTATATATAGCACCTCATGAACTAAATGGTGGACAACATAAGACAACAAACTTTCACAGTAAACTAGATAAAAACCCAAAAAGAAAAGCCTAAAAATTTCCTGCCATGGCAAGAGTTCATTGAGAGTGAGAAGATTCTGCTGCAGGTGCTGGAATAAGCTAAATCAAATACCATAAAAATAAAAGATGATCCCAAAGCTTGAACATCAAGGTAGACAGTAGCTGTTGGAATTCCTTGTTAGAACAAACAAGTTGGAATCTGAACTCATTTACCCAAAAGAAAATCAACAAGGGATAAATAATGTGACTTGTGAGATAGACCATTCATAATCATATGGCATTTCAAGCATACCCAGGCAGTTTTCCACTAAGGTCAAAAAAATGCTGCAACAATTTAAACTACAACCATGGCAAAAACTATATAAACAATTAAGAGAACATTTATGACCTGGAGAGCAGAAACGTTTGTTGGAAAACCATAAATGCATACGACCATCTCCCAGGGGCGTTTGCTCTTTGTCCTCCAAGCACCACTCGCTATTTCCCCATTATGCTGCCTAATCCGACGCCGTGGGTTCACAGTAAATCTGCAAGTGAGCAACACTGACATTAGAAAAATTGTTCAAACTTTTTGCTTAAACTTGAATTTTTAACTCGAGAACCTCAAATCAAAGGAAAAACATATTGAGAGAAAAGGATCGAACTTTGAATTTCAGATCAGGACCAAGGAAAAATCGAGTTAAAACTGAATTTACTCTGGAAGGCATCAATGATGTGAATATGAATCCAATCAAATCCCCGACATGCTATGTATAATTAATACAATTGATAAGCACAAAATCATAAAGCTGAACGGCTGAACCTTAAAGCAATCAAAACTAGAAAAGATCGAATCTTGAATTACTAAAGACAAGAAGCAAAAGCACCCATTAATGTTGAGATAAGAAAGAAATAAAGTGAGCCAGAAGATTAAAGTAGGATTAGGAAGAGAAGAGTAGAAACTGACCCGACATAGGTATGGCCTTTATGGCGAGGGCTGAGAGAGGTTAATAGATAGCAAGCGAAGAACCCTTTTCCACGTTTGCCCTCATTTTCATTTCCAAAATCTCTAATTTCTTCTTGTTTTTCTCCTTCAAGATTCAGGCTTTTGATGTTTCGTGTTCTCGACTTTCTCTGCTTGAAGTAGGTGACGAGGGATTTCAAGTCCCCAGCTTCACTGTTTCTCTTTCTCGCTTCATTGGTTTTCCCCTTTCTCATCTCTCTCGGACTCGCACTCTCGCAGTCTAACTCACTGACACACAACGGATTCGATTCGACCGTTGAAATTTGGCCTTTTAAAGTAGTGGCAGCACATTCTTTCATTTTCTTTCTTTTTTTTTTTTTTTGTGTTAATTTGAAATACGTTACGATACTATATATGGCAGCTTTTTCTTTTGAATTACTAAGAAATTTTCTATGAAGAAAGTTCAATTTAAAATTTAAATAAAAAATATATATTTCTGTTCAAATGAATTACTATTGTTTTATAATGGCCAAAATAAAAATTACTGCTATTGTTTCATACTACATTGGTTGTAGATGTTTATTTTTAGCTTATAAGATACTAATAATTTAATTCAATTTTTTTTTATTTGTTATAAATGCAAGCATGATTATCGTGGTATTCAAACAAATTCCATTACTCTTCCCTTATCTAAAATCAGCTGAGGAATCAGTTTCAACCAAACTTAGTCCTTTTAACTTTGGTCTCTTTTTGTCAGGATTGCTTGCTCATAAGTAAAGGAGGCCCCAATTTCACACGTCCTAACTTAAACAATCAAGCTTCCTCTTTGCCGCATATGAATGTGAACTTCTTCCACTCTTGGCCACAAACTTCACCAAACCATCACTTTTGGCAACAAAGTTCCCTACATCATTTTGAGAACTAGACCTGACTTGATGGAGATTTGTGTAAAAGGCCCTGAATAAGCAATTGTAAAGCTAGGTCCTTCAGGCTTATCAAACTCAAAGATATTATAATTGTCAATAGAATTATTTTTGGCAGGACTTTCCGCCGTGGTATCTTCAATGACACAGGATTCACAACGCATTTGACAACGTTGCCAGCCATATTGTCTTTGGTGAATCATCTTTGTCTTGACCTTCAGATTCATGGGAAGAAATTGATGAAGAGGTGGCAGAAGCTCTTCCAGTGACTTGGATTGATTCACAGGACCCAAAGGCATATGAAGACTTAAAATGTCTTTGTTGATTCATCAATTGCTGATTTTTCACTTGAAAAAAACATACGAAGGAAATTTAGAAGTCATTCCTTAAGCAAAAGCTAGTTGAGGAATGGATCGACACCAAGATTTTGAGTGTCCATTCTAACCACATGGAGCACAAACTCTAAATTCTTGTTCATGCTTAAATTGAATCCACAAACCCTCCTCATCACTGATATATTTAAATGTGCAGAATCTTTTGGCTGAGCTAAGTTGGAGCAACGAAATTGATGATTTACTTCTTACAACAAAGAAATCTTGGACTCCAGTTCCTGTATTACCTTTTCCAAATCTCCACGCAATTTTCTTAGTTATAAACCTTGATTTTCAGCAACCAACGCTTGTATTTTCACATGCCACAACTTTTCAATTTCTTCATGCAACTTAGTGATCCTTAACTTGATTTCTACATGTGTAACTTCAAGCTCATCAATTTGGTTTTGAGATTTGAGATTTTGCCTCTAACATCAGTTGTCAAACTCTAATCTTGTGAAGACTTTTCTTTCTGAAGAATATCTATGTTTTCCCTGAGTTGTGAGCTATCTTTTTCCATTTCCTTGAAAACTCTTTCTTTTTCAGCTAATCTGGTCTCAAGATTCTTTCTTAGCTCACCAAGTTTTTTGCTTTGATTTTTAAGCTTTTCATTTTCCAGTTTCAACTGTTCAAATTCCTCCTCAACTTCACTAACTACATGAGCTAAAAACAAACCTGTGAATGATGTTCATTGTCAAGTTGATCGCCAGTTGCCTTGAACAAATTAGTCATCTCTTCTGCAAGATTTCTAAGCATATGCATGATAAAAACTCAAAAAAACCCACTCAACCAATAAGCAACCAGGAGAAGAAGGATTCATACTAAAGAAAAGGATTTTTAAATAAAATTGATACCAGTGCATAGTTACAAATATGTTGTCAGTGACAAACTGCAAGTTTAAAACCACCTGAACCTGATATATGCACAGACAATTCAGAAACACCAAGATCCTTAATCCCAGTAACATTTCAAGTTTTCGTGAATCAGCATGTTATGGATTCGGTTATATTTCTACAAACAAGAAGTTGCATACACGTGTCATATTCTGAGTAAACTGAAATACATATTTCCAATTGCTTTCATTTGAATAGACCAGTTCAACAACCTAAGAAGTTCCGACCCTTTTACAAAGGATGAAGATTATTAATCATTTATGATCCAACCGACTGGCGTCCTATCCTGGGAAGCTGGATCCAAGAACAAAGTCATAATCTTTCACATTTTATTTTCACAAAAATGGTTAGTTGGTAGCTTATCTAGACATCAGATACCTCTCGTAACATCAGCTTGAGCTCGACACCAAAATGTTTGCAGTCAGAGCAAACACGCAAGGAAATGAAGAAGTTTGACAACTGACAAAGAAAGACTAGGGTATAATCAGAAATCAAATTGAACCAATAATTAGCAATAAAAACAAGAAGATAACGGACCAAGTTTCACAGCATACTAAAAATATTCTCCAACAAATATAATTTTCCACAAATTGAGAAGAAAGTTCATTTATTTACTGTCAATTTTAGACCCAAATTACAATCTGTAAAATAAGTGTACACAGAACAAGATCCAGGATTCATATACAACAGTAGTTGTTGGAATACAGGTAATCCTAAATTCCAGTAACAATTACAATCACCAGAGACAACAATAAGAACCCCATCATAAAGTCCACAACAGCAATAAGAAGATGGGTTTTTATTTTTTATTTTTTGCAGAAAATTTGTTGAATCGCCTAATCAAACCTGCTCAACTGTCGGCAAAGGAAAAAAAAATGAAAACGGAGATCAAGTGGAAAGCTTTGAGTTTGAGGAAACCAAATGCCTCCACAAGTAACGACCACTTGCCATGTCAACACATGTCCAGAATCCTGATTCTATAGCTGTCCGAACCTAATCAACAAATTGAAGCGTTTAATTATTATTAAAAGAGGAAGAAGAAAGCAGCGATGAAAGGTGAAGAAAAAGTGGAAACCTTGGAGAAGGAAGAGAGGGAGTTGTTGGTGTCGTTGATGGCGGTGTGGGGATCATCTTCATCGTTAGTTTGGGGCTGAGATTTGAGGTTTCTAATGACGAAAAAGCCGGCGAGAGTTGCGGACAGGAAAATCAGGATCAGCCTCAGCGGACACATTTTTCAAATTCCCAAACCCCCAGTCTCTCTCTCTCTCTCTCTCTCTCTCTGTCTTCCTCAATTTCAGAATTTCACTAACAAAAATCGCTCCCTTTTTTTTTTGGTTAGTTTCTGTGGGTAATAGTAATTTAGAAATGCGGGTGATTCATTGCTGATTATTGGATGGATTCTGCATTAGGGTGTAGTTGAAGTTTTGTCAAATTTCGTGGGCGTTTTGGCAATTTTAGACACGTTTCTTTTGAGAGAAACAAAAATGCTACAAAAAAGAAAACAAATCAAAGAACAAAGTTTTTTTAACAGAAAAATCAAGATTTGAATCTAATCATTAAAATTAAAAATAAATTTCTATTATGGATGATCTTTCAATTCTAATAAAATATTTAATTTAAATTATAAATTTATTAATTAAAGTAACATTTTAAATAATTAAATGTTACATGTATATATATAATTTTTTAAATATCAAATTAATTAATAAATTTTTAATTTAGACATCATATTAAAATTTTAAAATTTTTCAATATTTTATTATAATACAAAAATTATTCATAACATTAACATTACCCATACGTCACATCACAAAGCAGTTTAAAAAAAAAAAAACCCAAAGTTGAAAGTGCCAAGGCAATCCAATTTTTTGTATACCCCAACTAGGATGCCCGCATTAGATAATCGTGCTCGACCTACCTAATTCGAAAAATTAATGTGAAGAAGGTACGTTGAGGCCATTTATTTATCGAATTAAAAACAACTTGTGTTGTGGAAATAATTGATTGGAAAATGAGGACATTACCTTAATTCCCCTATCACTCTATTGCTCAAATTAGGTATCCATGTTAGGTGAACCCTCGTTCACACATCCCACAAAGCATCAAGGTCATGCGTGTTGACAAGGACTTCCATTCACCTCCACAACACAAATTTGCTCCTAATCCTATCGGGGCTTTTCCCAATCTTTTGACTTGTATTAAGTCAATAGCATTTTTAGTTGACCATGTTATGTCCATAGCAATTTCACCCACTACATAATAATTCAATAAGTTTTAAACCACAACTTCGTTTTGGAAATACAAGCTCATTCTAGCATCTCCTTCCTTCTTTATACTGGCAAGAAAAGATCTCATCCCTAAGCTTTGTTTTTAGAAACTTCAAGATAGATGCAACCAAGTGACTGAGACACCCTATCAATACCTCTCAATAATAACAACAATTCCTGTTTTTCATCTTCTGCTGATTAAATAAAGTTCCAGCTGAGAACAATGACAAAACCAGGTCCAAAGCTCATGTAATCTCAACTACTCTACTTCATCCTGCCTTTTAGTTTCATCTTCCCATTGCCTACTCTAAAACGGTTGCATCTGCAGTAGGATACGTCCTGCGAGGAAACACGAGTGCAATTAAATAAGAAGCAGAAGAATCAAAAGTATGAGTTGAGGTTAATGTTCAAGACTTACATAAAACTAGTTAAAAGGTAAATCTGTCCGGTTGGAAGCCATTCCTGATGCATTTATTAGTTAGTATATATCAGGCAATTACAGGCTTGGGAGAAATTTCACCAGTTATGATCTAAAGAAACAAAAAATTTTTAACTTCATGAAGTTGCTAGTTAGAATTACAGAAGACAAGTAAATTGAAAAGACGCAAAAAAAAAAAAAAAAACCTTGCCATAATTAGATCTTGGCAAACCGAGCAATCTTAGATAGGACTGTTCTTAAACTTCGGATACCAGCTCCAGATTTTGAGCTCACCATCATCTGAAATAAAACCAAAATCCAGTTATTTAGGCCCCCTACTAATTTATAACCCGCGGAACCTCAAAGAGGTAAACAAATTTGTTTCTTCATACCACAGGTTGAACTACAGATCTGTTTGCCTTGAGGCTCTGCAAAACCAAATCAATTTTAGAAACTGGTTAGTTTCAAAGGAATAAGGCTTAGTTTGTTGCTGTTGTTAGTCTCAAAGGAAAACATGCTAATTACAATGAAAATGTACTTGAATGCATAAAATTCACCTCTTCAATATGCGTTGCACGACGTGCCACATCAATTGGGAACACCGTATCTGTCTTGGTTAAGACAATCTGGTATTTTGTTTGAGATCTGTATATTAATAAATGAAAAATCAACAAAATAAAATACGTGCAATGCTCCTAGTGTGGTTTATGCTCGTTCCCTCTATGCATAAACAAGAACAGACATGCAAAATTGCTGCATAATCATACCATACTGCCTAAGATAGCACCAGACTAGCAAATAAAGATCTTACACCCTCTTTCCTCTTTACCAAATAATGGATCTTCATTCTCAAATCTTCACTGCCAATAGAAAGTGTCAGAGATTCAGTGTATATCCCCCACTCCACCACTACTGAGGTAGTCTTGTTCTAAAAATGATGTTGTCTTAAGGCTTTGCCCACCTTTGAGCACACACTCATACAAATCCATATGTTGTACAATAAACTTTGATCTACTTCTTATCCACGGAAAGGAGGCATTGGTAAGAACACTCAATGTAACTAAATTAGACACAACATAGGCATAGGTATGTAAGTATTCTAGATGCAACTGTAATACCAAATTGATACAATGAGAAAATGGGGCAGACATTAAGTTTCCTCTTATTTACATGCCTTGTACTTTTATGCTAACAAAATGGAAAAACAGGGTCAAAAGTCACCAATTTAAAATGGAGAAAATGTTTACCTTTCCATTAAATCAATGAGTTCTTTATCTCTAGGCTTCATGCCCCACTTGGTATCAATGAGAAGGCATACTCGTTTTAGACCAACTCTTGTTGAAACAAACTCCTTCACCTGCAAAGTTTAACAGTTTACAACTACCTTAATTGAGTCATACCTAATTGCTTTTGACAAGAACGAAATTACCAAAAAGGGAAAACCTTCAAGCCTACACCCAGATTCTTTAACTTAGTCATTTTTCAAAGTTTCGACTCACAAAACTTTTGAAACCAATAAATTCAGCCTCCCACCGTTTAGACATGTTTACCAATACACACAAAACTTCCCAAACACTTGAATGGTTCAGCAACAACAAATATCTACGTATCCAACTAGTGGCTAAACAACTCATGCCTCAGTAGCAATCTGATAATTAGTGACAATCACAGATTAATTTAGGTGTTCCACCACTAAGGTGTTAAAAAATCCTACCATTAAATCAAAAAAGTGGTTACAGGAAAAGGTTGGGTTCAGAGATCATGTACTCACAAGCTCCTCCCATGCCTCCTTAACTTCTTCCTTTGCATAGGCAAAGCCATAGCCAGGCAAATCAACCAGGCAGAGCTTTGATCCCAACTTGAAGAAATTAATAGTCTGCAACAAAACAGCTTTTGAAAACTTTGAAAAAGAGATACTTCCAGGAAATTGTGAACATAGCGTTTAAGAAAAATGAGAGCACTTGAGTATGGCCTGGTTTGTCTGATGTCCGTACAACACCCCATTGTCTGGTGAGTGCATTAAGTAGTGATGACTTCCCAACATTTGACCTCCCTAACAAAGGCAATAAAGATGTATCATTCTTAAAATGGATATACATATATAAGCTTTCTAAGACTACAACAAGCTGTCATATGGGACATCAAAACAAATAATGACCAGATAGTTTGCAAAGTCTCGAACCAGCTTAACAGAGGCTAACAAGATAATCCCATCTCTCGAAAAAAAACTCATTACATTGGATTATGAAAAACAATACACACTGCAAAGAAATAAAATCCTTCCAGCAGTTTTAGTGTAATCCACTACAGAGTATCTTGAAAGGAAATTGCCTATAGATACTGAGAGCATGGTATGCTATAGCTCCAGGAGCACACCTTTCCTGTTAAAGACTTAGAATAGCCATAGGCTGAGCATTATAGACTCTTTCAATTGGTGAGACATGAGACATTAACATGTAATAACAGGAAACATGAACCCTCAGGAAGCCATAAATCTAATCAAAAGAATTCAACATGGAGAGTACAAAAAAATCAGAAAACTGCAAAACCTAAAATAAGGAAAGACTGAAAATTTTAGCTGTCTACCTGCAAATGCAATCTCGGGAATATCAGGAGCTGGAAATGATGATGAAACCTTTGCAGCAGCATAAAACTGCAACTTGTTCCTAAATATCTGCAAAAACATGGCTTATAGATGAAAACACTAAACAGCAGCAAAGTGAGTAACTTTTGGCTAATTGTCACATTAATCACAAACATACATTTTCCTCAATGCGTTCCCTTTCAGAGTTGGTAGAAAAAGGGATATTATCTAATGGGGCAGAAAGCTCAGTGTTGTAGCCTGCTCTCTGGATCTCAATTGTGCGTCTACGACCTAACAACTGTAAAATAAAAAAAAAAAATTCAAGAGTCATAATACAGAAAAATGATGGCATGAAAAGATGGGGGCATGTAGCCCAAACATCTCAAGACTTTGAGCATACAAATTACATTATCTTCCACAAAGGAAAGGATAGAGGGACTGGGCTGTATTCCACGGAATTGAGCATTCTTTGACATGGCAGCATTTTCCTCAAAATCTTTTCTCTTCTCTTTTCTACTTTCTAGAAAGGAATCAAGAAACAACAATACCAAAGTCAAAAGAAATCCACTTCAAACAAGCATAATTAGAAGAGCGTAGGGCATTGCAAATATAACAACTCCAGACATGTTGGAGAAAGCATAAGGAAATACTGACCATAAATAGCAATGCCATCATCTAGTCGCTTGTTTGAGATATCATAAGGATCTAACCGAATGACCCGCTTTTTTTTCTTTGGCTTACCATCAAGAACTTCCGAATCATTATTTAAGCTTTTCTTATCCGGAACTATTTTCTTGGCAGAAGTCAAAGGAGAAGCATTGATGCTCGAATCCAAGCGCTTACTTGAGTTGGCTTTGGCTTTGGCATGTTTCTTTGGTGAATCATTTGAAGCACTACCCATTCCATCTACCTCCTTTGCACTTCTGCCAACATTCTTCGGATTACGAGAAGTAGCTTTACTTATAGAAGTAACATCCTCTGGCGTAGGAGAAACCCAGATTGAACGAATTGCTTTGCCATTGCTTTGTTTCCCTTTGTTTAAGGCACCTTTGACCGTCTTTCTATCTGTTGCCTCTACATTCATATGAATCTTATATGACATTAATTGGTCAGAATCAACTCGCTTTCTTCTCCTATCATAATTTAAAGCTAGAGGTTTAGTATGCTTTTCCTCAAAATGAACCTCTCCATCATCACTACCTTCTGCAACTCCATAGCTATTAGCAGTACGTTTTCTACTTTTAGTTTTAGAGCTCTTCCCACCAACAACACGACCCTTTTCAACACTATTTTTAGTTCCTTCCCTGAAAATGTAATTCTTTGGTTTCCCCATGGCAATCTTTAGTTTCTTATTCAGTTTATACCTTAAGCCTGCCTCTTCAGACATTCTCAACATCCCACTTCACCGAAACAAAACCAAACACAAATTAGCTCTGGGAACAGAACTAAAAAGAAAAAAGAAAAAAAAAAAACCTTTGGACACGGAAATGATGTCATACCTTTGGAACAGATATTCTTCAGTTTTGTTTTTCCATGAACGGCTGGCTACCTTTCTTAGTGTTTTTTTCCTGCCCTATTTGGAACTTGGGAGAGCCGAGAGGAAGTGGACCAGATATTGCCCCTGAATAAATTAATCGGACCATACACTTATGGACTTAATGCTATATTGCAAATAATGATGGCCCATAAATTTGCCATTAAACTTCATTTTGGGCCATTTAATCTCAATTTGGGTTTTGACTTCGGCTGGTAGAGAGTAAAAGCAAACAAAATACCTTACTTGCATGTTGCAATTAGGAACTTCCAAGTTTTCATTCGACTTGGCTCCTCTATTTACACACAATCTTAAATTTTATTTTTATGTTCTTGAGTAAATTTGATTTCCCAATCTATACTCATCCCTAGCTAGTAAACAATCCACAACATGATAATAGAAAGAGGAGCAGAGGCAGGCCACCAACCAATATAAAAATTCCAATCATGAGAGGAGGCTAGCTTCCAAATCCATCTCCACTTGTTTGACTACTATTCCTAAGCACCAACTCTGGTTAAAATACACTTTCTCAAGTCGAATTCCCAGAAAGAGAGAGAGATTTTCATGTCATGAGGAAAATTTGATGAATAAGACAATGAGATGATGATGGAATCCGATGCTTTGATGAAGTCAAGAAGAGCAAAGAGAGAAAAAAAAATTGTTTTTCTGTATACTGAATTACAAGTTTGATATCGATATTTGAAATAGTTTAAAATAAAAATGTTGGTTTATGTAATGGCCAACTGTGCTCCTCTATTAATAGCAAATCAATTGATTCTGGCAAAGGGTCCACAACCAACTTTTTGATTTGGTGCATTATTCTTGCTTTGTCAGAAAATCGTTGAACATGTGGCTTAACCACTGTGGTTACCCCCTTAACTTTGTTTTACATTGCTTTATGTATACATGATTTGAGCTGCATTTAAGAATTCAAAAATGTATTTTTCATTTACAAAACAAGCCCCGAAACAAAGTTCCATTCACCTTTCCCAAGTACAGCTTATATAGTGAGCAATCATTGCTCATCCGTCTGCCAATAATATTACCAGTTTATAGTACATAAGAACACCATTTGAGATACTGACCAAATCCGATGTATCCAATTCTTAATTCTGTGTCTTTCTGGATGCACTTTGCTTGCATCTGAACAATCAGAATTATGTGCATAATATCCTAGTAAATGTCGTTAATATACTCAAGAATCACATTCAAGGAGATAAGAAAGAAAACAAAACAAAAGGGATATATAAAAGAAAATTCATTTAATTTACTATAAGATACAAATAAATTAAAGTAAAAAAAAAAAAAAAATCATGAACGCTCATGATTAGGAGGTGGAGAATAGAAGGCATCAAAAGACGTACATGAAATGATGTGAGTACTTGCTGTCATCCTTCCATTCTTTATTCTCTCTTTGCTGCCCTTACGCACACAAAAAAGGTCTATACAAGAGAAATAAAATAGTTACAAGTAACATAAATAACTTTCACTCTTCTTAATTTATTCCAAAGTACTGCTAAGATACATACACACAAATACAAGCACAAAATTTTAACTGGAATTGGTAGTAGTAGTAGTAGTAATTCTCTTTTTTCTCCTGGAAGACTCGACTCACGCTAATGCGTCGAGGGAAGTGTCCATTCTGTTGTTGTTAGTGTCTTTCTTTCCTCTTCCTTCAATTTTTTTTTGTTTTTTTTTTCCCAATTTCACACCATTCATCCCAATAATAATGCAGAATGCATTTGAAATACACCGATGTAGAAATTAACCACGCACGACTGTTGTTAAACTTTATGTTTGTTTCATGTAAATCATGGGTAATTTACCGCCCAATCTTTGACGGGGAATTGTCAGTTGCCTGCCACCTCCTGCCTTTCTGCTAACGCAGGCCGGATCTTGCTGTTCCAAATATCCTTGTAGCACCAGGCATCACCGCCTGTTCTCTTGGCTTCCACCACAACCAACTCATCTGTTAAACGGTAAACATCAACCGCTATCCGCAAATTTCCGTTTTGCCCCTCCAATTCAACGCCCCATTCTTTCCTCCTCTTCACCCTGAAACCCTCGGCTTTGGCAACCTCCTCCACTTTCTCCACCAATTTCTCAGGTGACTCTCTTAATACAAAGCGTTCGCCGTCACTGACCGAATCATGCGAGTCATAGAACAAACCAGACAGGTCTAAGCCGGATGAGAATGATATCAAATCGAATGCATTCAAGCTTGTAACCTGAGGTTCATCCTTGTCTACCTTGACATGCTCCTCATGGAACTTAGGCTCCTTGTAACCCTTCCTGAACCATGGATCCTTGAGGATCTCATGAATCGTGATCCTTGTGTCGGGATTCGTATCCAGAAGCCGAGATAGCAAGCGTTTGAGATCGCTCGACATCCATTTAGGACACCTAAACTCACCTTTGTAGATTTTCTTGTACATAACCATGAGATTCGGATCATTAAAAGGCAAGTAACCTGCGTTTAACACGAAGAGGATGACGCCGCATGACCACACATCCACCTTAGCTCCATCATATCCTTTCTTCGTCAAGATCTCCGGTGCCACGTAAGCTGGGGTCCCACACAAGGTGTGCAACAGCCCGTCGGGTCGGATCTGATCGGTTACGGCACTGAGACCGAAATCGGTAACCTTCAAATTCCCGTTCTCGTCAACAAGGAGGTTTTCAGGTTTCAAATCACGGTGGAATACCCCGCGGGAGTGGCAATACCCGACGGCCGATATGAGCTGTTGGAAATACTTACGGCTGAGATCTTCGCTGAACCTTCCTTTAGCAACCTTAGCGAACAATTCTCCACCTTTGACGAATTCCATCACGAAATAGATCTTAGTTTTGGTGGCCAAAACCTCGTAGAGTTTGACGATATAAGGGTGATTCAAGCGACTCATGATGGAGATCTCACGCTTGACGTTGCACATCAAGCTGGTGCTGGACAGCTTCTTTTTGTTGATTACCTTAACGGCCACGCTCTGCCCAGTGCGGACGTTTCTGGCATGATAAACCTTAGCGAAGGCGCCGCAACCGAGGAGCCTGCCGAGCTCGTATTTGCCGAACAGGGCATTTTCTGGAACATGTTCGATCTCTGGCATAGATGGTGGAGCCAGAGACCGAACCGGATCGGCGAATTCCTTCAGCAGAAAAAAAAAAGGAGATTAATAAAATATACAAGCGGAAATCAAAGATTGATTTCCCTGCCCCTAATATAGCCTTTCAAAACACACAAAAACTGAGGAAACAAATTGAGATGAGAACAGAGAATTTTTGTATATATGGAGGTCTGTTGTCTAACTTAATGTTTTCAAGTCAAGGATTCGATAGAGAGCGCGTGATTGACGGTGGAAGTTTCGGGAGGGTGGGTTGGCTTAGCTAACCTATGTCTTGGACAGGGGATTTAATTACCATTAATTACCATGATAAGAACATTTATCTACTACGCGGGAGGCGGTACAACGTTTAATCCCTTTTTCTTTTCGGTAAATTACGCGATTAATCATTTAACTTTGATTGATTTTTTATTTTAATCATCAAAATATGAATTGTTAAGTTTCATCACTAATATCTTAAATTTTTGTGTTTCAGACACTCTACCATTAATAAAAAAAACTGAAAATGTCGACACTAAATAGTGCAATCATATCATTTAAAAAAGATAACATGAAATGATAAAAAGAAAAAAAAAATAAGATATATCTTTTTGGTATTTATTTACTTATATTTTTTGTACGTTTTTAAATAAATAAATATTAGTTTCTGGCAAGAAAAAAAGTTGATTACGCGATTAGCAGCAAATAAAATTAAACAAATAGGAAAAAAATAAAAATAGGCTGGGATGGCAAAAAAATATTAAACAAGTTAAAATATATATATATATATATGTTGGTTGGGCAAGCAATCAAATAACCTTGAGCCAGATTAAAGTTCTAGAAAGGGCAAGGACTAAAACCCCATTCTTTAACATTAAGAAACTGATTTTTATATTAATTAATATGTTATTAAATATGGTGTTTGAAGATTATATATTTAATAAAATTTATATGCGTAATTTTTTTAATTAAATAAATAATAAAATAAGAAATTTAAGTATAAATTTAATATTTTTAACAATATTATCATTAAATTATTAAATAAAATTTATATTTTATGTATTATCAATGTATAATATTATATAATATCAATAAATTATATAATGATACATTCATTGATACAGTTAAAACAACAATGACTTTTATCATTTTTTTTTTTTGCTTTTGATCTTTTATTTTTATATTAATTAATTAATAATTTTATATTATTTATTTCCATAACATTTTGACAAAATAATTAATCTCTTTATTGATATATATTACAAAGTGAAAATAATAAGTTGTAATAATAGATTTATAAACTCAACTGAACTAATAACTACTCAAATAAACAAATGTAATAACTATATAAATATTAACTCCATTGATGATTTATGGGAATGAGCACCCAAAATTTTTTTTAAGGATCATACATATTTTTTTGAGAAACTAACTTTGGGTGTTATGATATTCATAGAGGAAGATATTCTAAGAATTGCAAAGCTTAGGCGTTTCAGACTGTAAGTGGGCTTATCCGCTGCTTTGAAAAAAAAAAAAAAAAACTTATAATTGATAAGTTATTCAAGTTATTACATTAAGGTTTAGTAAAGATTTTTATTAATTAATTGATAAATATATGTGATTAATTTCAGCTACATGACTTTTTTAATGGTTGTATCATGTCATGTGAAAACTAATATCATACATAATAATTCATTTAAACATTTTTTATTCTTTAACGATTGGACGATGAAAATAAAAAATAAAATATAAAAGATGATTAAAACATAATATTTTATAAAATAAAAAATTACGAAATTGGATGAATATTTTTTTATTTTATTTTTCTTTTTTTGTAAATGGTGATCATTACCTAAAACGTGGCAGAAGATTATTGAGACACGAGTTGACAACAACAGACGAGCACCGTGTTCAATACGGACATGACGGTGCCGTCCAACGGTTGTGAACTATTTGCGTACATTTTAAAAGAAACAGAGATGGGGAAGGATAAAAGAAAATTAATATATTCTTAATTGGAGTCTTTTTTTTTTTTTTTCCTATATTGTTTTGAAGTATTTTTATGCATGATAGAATCACAACAATTTAAACCCATTTTTTGGCCTAAAAAAAGGTTAAATTGTTTGATTCAATAACTTTACAAAATCACTTTCTCAATAAAAAAATTTAAGATTCAATGCTAATTCTTTCAACGCATATTTGTCATAATTTAGCCTAAAATCGATTGAAATTATATATACAATGGAGTTCATAAAAGCTGTAGCGGTAGTTTTAATAGTGTGCCTATGCTTTTGTGGAAATTCAAATTGTTTGAAAATTTGATTAGTAGTTTACGAATATCCTTTTTAAACCAAATTACGTGAATGTGAAATGTTCAAGGATTTGGACTGTTAGGTTTGACGCAGTAAAGATCTGACACCACGATTCATAATCACGTGGCAGCCATAAAAACAATTTCCCCAAGGGAACCGAGGACTTGTTTTTGGGGGTGCCAGGTGACAACTGTCAGGTATGGATATCTTGTGGAAGCTAGATGGTTCCCTGGGAAACTGGATCCCTATCATCATCAAGCCTTCCCAACTTGTTGCATTAGCTTTCGTTGTTTGATTTGTCAAAAAACAATGCGTGGCCTAGCTTGTTGACGCCGTGTATTGAAAAATTTCACGTGACTAATGTCCAAGTGAAAGAAACTTCACAGCGGTTGCTGGTCCCAGCTTGTTTCTGAAGCTTTTGACATTAATCAATAATATTTTTTTTCTTAAAAAAAAAAAATTCATTTTCTTACTATATTAGAAAGAGAAAGGTTTGCCTTTCTTTTTTCTTTTTTTTTTGGTGCCAATAAGTGGCTTTTAATTCTTTGTAGAAATTGTAATGTTTAATCTTTGACTATGTTGAGGCGACACATGCTTAATTTCTGTTACTGCTACATCAACAATGTTCATGTGTTTTCCTTCGTTTTACAATGAAGCCAACGCAAAAAGTAATCCTCCATCCCTCCAACAAGTATAGTCTCCTGCCGACGTGTGGGAGGTTCGACAATCTTATTATATTGGCTGACTCGCTGTCAACGTCTGCGTCGTCGTTTCAACCTGCTAATTAAAAGAGTTTGTATCTCTAACTAGGTTTTACACTTCACCGTTACACCACAACAATAAACCTTCATAAAATTTCTTTCATCACACGAAGTTGACCAATTTCTGTGAACATTTGTTAACTTGTGAGTTAGACAGTTTTTTTTTTTTTTTTTTAACTTTATATCACATTTTTAAGTTTTAGTATTTTTTTTTTAATATATAGAAGATAGGGAACTGGAACTAAAGTTTTTAATTTAATAAAACATGCACTAAAAATTGAACTTAATGCATGAGTGTGTTTATTTTTATTTAAAATATAATTTAATTTATACATGAGAAAAATGATTTTTTCTCAGTTATTCTAATGAGAGTAATACATAAGTTATTCTAGTGATATAATAAACTTTAATTATACTGTTAATTGAAGTACTCTTCTCATTAACTAGTTAATTCTTGCTCGACTTTAACTTTTGGAATTTTCTTTTTGATTTTCTAAGTTTTAAGAAGTTATTTTAGTCTGACGGAATGAGAAAGTTATTTATTAATAAAATTATTTTTATAATAATAAATTAATATAATTGAAATTTAATCAAAAGTAAAAGGATAATATAATGTTAAAGAAGTTAAGTAACCTTTATTTAATCACTTATTTTTTTCTAATGACTCAAATCATTTTTAATAATATTTATACTAAATCACTTTTAAATTTTTTCGAAGTTATATCCATAATCAAATAATTTATATGAATAAAACTTGAATCTAAAAATTCAAGACTCTATAACCTCTTCCTTGTCATTAAGTGACGATTTCATTGGCGAATCACTTTTAATTATTAATAATGGAATACAAATACAGATAACTACTTTTTATTAAATAAATAATAATAAAAAAAAGAAATAGCTTTCTGCTGAAGTTTAGTGGAAAGTTTTTGAACCATGTGGGCTGAGGTAGTTATAGGACTCTGAATATTGGATGGAAATTTGGGAGGTTATTTGGTCTCCAACACTTCTCAACCGAGAATAATAACATTGGGCCATAAGCTGCACTGGAGCATTGGGCCGTACTTCTTGCCTCATTGTGAAAGAACGAGTTGAAAGAAAGATTCGGTTATGTTTGGTACTAGAAAATAAAGCCCTTTTCGTTTTGTAGAAAGTGAAAATGAAAATATGTTTAATTTGAAAAAAGAAAAAAAATTTTGCCTTAGAATTGAGCCTTTAAAGGCGGACCGACACTGATCAAGGCAAGATCTAGAGCCTGTACGTGGTGAGGCCCTTGGACTTCTTGTGACATCAGTGGCGCAGACCGCTGCAGTGTCCCCTTCAACGGCTCCGACTGTCCATATCCAACCTTCCTCGGTCACGTTTGACTCTTCATCCGCGAGGAGAAGGAAGACAAAGTCAATATATATATATATATATATATAAAAATTAATTTATTACGAAGAATTATTTAATTTTATTTTTAAAAAAATACAATTCATAATAAAAAAAATTATCATAAATTTAAATTATTTTTAATTTAGAAGGTTAATTGTTTTGTACAAATAAAATGCAATTTGAAGATAAAAAAAATGATTACAAATAATAAATTTTAAATTTTAAATTGAACAATATTTTTTAAAAGTGATTTCATAAATTAATTAAGTTAAATTTAAAATTTAAAAAAATAATTTTGACCCATAAAAAAATCTCATCTTATCCATAATAAAATAATTCTATCTTAAATTCAAAGAAAATAATTCCATCTTATAATTTTTAAACACCGAATTAAAAAGAAAATGATATTACCTAATTTAATTCGATCTATAATTTTTTTATCCTATTTTGTTTATCATCATATGTACTCAACATGCCATTATAACCTTAATTCGATTGCATATATAATATATTGGTTCAGTCCTGATGAAGAAACAGGCTCTTTACGGCTTTTTCCCGAAGCCAGAAATTTTCTCCTTTGGGAGCAGCGAAGTTTTGGTCAGAGAAGCAAAACTTCTCCGTTTTGATACAATGACCATAAATTCTTCTGCTTCCCAGGCAGTCACAAATTTATCAGAGGTTCATCGTCCCCCATTTGGCTTCATTGTGTATATATTATGGTAACTAGCAAACAACCCTCCACAGTTTCGGGGTTAAAATTCTCGGAGCACAAATTTTTTTTCAATATGAATAATTATTTATAAAATAGTATTTAATGTTAATAAATCTATTTGAAAAAAAATCAATAAATTCATTTAATTGGAATTCTGTTGATGCAAAAACTAAAAATTAAAAATTAATTTCTTGAAAACCAATAATTTATACTTTTACAATGCATTAAAACATAAAAAATTAAAATGAAATATAACAATCATAGTTTATTTATGGGTATTTGTACTATTTAATAGATATGTTAAGTTTAAATGATATTAAACACTACCATTAGTTGTTTTTATAGATATCATAAATTCATGAATGGCTAAATTCATGAATAGTTAGATTTATGCAATTGGAATTTGATTCATGATTATTTATGCTACTTAATATAGTATATATGACCTAAATTCAAAATTCAATTGGTGCCAAACATGAATTATTTTCATCCACAATTAATTGATTTCATGAATATCATAGATTTATATATAAGTAAATTTATGAACAGTTAAAATAAAAATAAGAATATTAATTAATAATTAGATTCATAAATACCATAAATTTATGAATGGTTAAATTCATAAATAGTTAGATTCATGGTTATTTATACCATTCAATAACATATATAAATTTAAACTTAAAATTTAAATGATACAAAACATAAATACATTCATCACGATTAATTAAGTTCATGAATACTATAGATTTATTAATGGCTAAATTTATAAATAATTATATTCATGTAATTTAAAATAAAAAAAAATTAATAATAATCTAAACATACAAAACAAAACTAAAAAAAGTTGTAAATAAAATTTTTTTGATAGCGAAGTTATTAATTAAAAAAAAGAGCACGAGTAAATTAAAGAGAAACCTGCATATAAAAACAGATATACGTTAGAGTAATATACTAATTAATTGATACTCATATAAAAGGTTATGACGCGATTTTTCATAGTGCTGGTCTGAGTCTGTTAATTAACACATACTCATAATATGTGCCACAGCTGCTTAGATACTATAAAGTAAGAAAAAAACCCTATATTGGTTTAAGTCACATTTTCATCACGGTAAAAACCAGCAATGGTCTCTTCATTGTCCTCCATCATCACATGCACTACACATTTGTGTGACCAAACAAAATTAAAAGCATCATGGCATGTACAACTTGTTGCCACATTTGCACCTCCATGCTTCTGGATAATACTCCGCAGTCACCGGTGTTCCGGGCGGCACCGGCACGTGAACAGGCTTGCACGGCGTGCAATTGCCGCACTTTGACGTGCACCGCGGAGGTGATGACCCTGGTCCACTCAAAAATCTCCTGGCCAAGCTTGAAGGGAGTCCTTGGATGTCAACAGGTATAGACGACCCCATTCTCTTTTCATTTTTACTCCTCTCCGTATTTTCCTGTGACAGTGGAATGTTAGTCATCAACTTATACAACTGGTTACTTGATAATTTAGCACAAGAAGCCCCCAAAAGCAAAATCTATGGTTCTGTTTCATCAATCCGCACAGCTACCATGCGCACTCTGAGAACAGCAATATTCAAGGGAACAACATAACCTAGTCCTAGAGAGTACGTGGCTCCGCTCAAAGCGCTAAGCACTGGACACTGGTGACGCGAGTTGCTGAGAGTTGAGACTCATGAAAAGAAGAAAGAGAATTCTACATGGCGAATGCTGCCGCGCGCTTTGGTGTTGGGTTTTCTTTTTGTTCTTTTTTTTGGATGGTTACTCCTGGAGATGGGCCACACTCCTGGCGTGATGCCCTAAAAATGGAAGATGATTCGATGCATCAGAAGGCTCAGAACGCAGCGGCCCCTTGCCAATGTCTGCATCCGTTTGGCGCATTTCAGCCATATTTGATTTTTTTTTTATTGCTCTTGACTGATTAATGGCAATGTGATTCTGTAAAACCCCCAATCCTTACACAAAAATTTAACCCGCAAACAATGGTGTCCATGAAAGATTTTATAAGATCATAGAAAGATTGCTTTTCTTGAGCAAGACTTTGAAAACATATACTATTGTAAACTACTATATTGAAGTAGGGCACATAAATTGGTGTAGTGAACTGACTCACCTGAAAACAGATACCATCTGCAACTTGACCAGAATATCGATACCTGATATCTGCGGTCGGAAAACAGAGTGCATATGTAGGGTTATAGCTAATGAGCCAAATTCATATATTATCATGCGTAATCATGGGTATTCTAGCAGGGTTAAGGTAGTAGAAAGTAGAAACAATTTTGTTCAGTAAAGCAGTATTTAACAGAGGTCCCATTTGAGTCCATGACTCCGAGCGGGCGCCCAGGTGAAATTAATAGGCTAAGATCTCCCTACATATAATAGAAGGTTTTCTTTTTCCTTTTTAAATGAGGGGAAAGACCATACCTTGTTGACATGTGGTGACAGTGCTGATGATGCTAAGCAGTGCGCAAACTGAGAAAAAGAAGAGGGAGAAACAGTAAAGGAAGTGAGATTTGTGGCTGAGATTCAGTTTTCTGTATCTCTTCCTCTCCATGAAAAACAAGAGAAGTTAAAAGCAGCTTGAGATATGGTCTGCCTGACTTTCCCTTTTTTAAATTTTGTTGGCACTTCAAAGATTGGAAGTGGATTCTCAAGCTATGCAGACAGAAAATCTTTGGCTTAAATTCCCCACATTCCATGCAACTGTCATGCCAAACCAGTACTTAACACCTCAATTCTCATGTTGTTGAAGACACCAGCTTCTTTTCAACTCTCTTTCTATCTCTTCTGAGGTTACAAGCGGAGGTAGTTGTGGTGGAATTGGGAAAAAGTAGGCATGTAGTACGGGTTATTACATTGATGCTGCAAAGAAAGTCTTAGCAGGCAGAGATCAGAGAGAGAAAAGGAGAAAAAGATTGTGAATCTATTCGGATCGTCGCTTCCTAAGCTTTACCATGTTTGGATGTTGGATTCTCTTGCAGGCTTTCTTCACTGTCTTTCAACGATTCCCAAACTCAGAAATACATAAACATCCACAAAATCCACCTCTCCTCATGCACCAAACCCCACACACTCTCTCTCTTTCAAGCTTTCTTGATCTCTAATTCCCTTGCTTTCGAGTTTTTCTTTTTCTTTTTCACACTTTATTGCGGACTTTGCACCACCAATTTATAGTCTGGCAATTTTAATGTCAAAACACGCAGGAATATAATCTCATAAACTGCACAGAAAAGAGAGAAATTAACACTTAATTAATCAGACCATAACCGAGTATGAAATTAATAGATATGTTTTGGATCCATCTGTGGACAAGAATGATTGAGTTACTATCGATTCAACCACCAATGGGGTCTCAGCTGCTTTAGAATATTTTGGTACTTGGAAAAATTCCTGTTTCACAAAATTACTCTGGCAGATTCTTCCTGTTGCTCTAGTTAATTTCAACTACTTACCATACATCTTGTAATACTAGTGTCATTCATAGCAATGCTAAAAATTAACACAATTTAAAATGAAATTGCTGTTGAAGTTCAAACACTGACCACGTTGAAGACGAGAGTTACCCTAATTCTGAAAAATTTTCAAGCATCCCAAGCCGTTGATTTATAACCCTTAGGGGCACAAAAGGACTAGGATTTGGCAGCCACTGATCAAGTTCCTGTCTACTCTTTATCAATGTATTCATAGATTCCAAAGGCAAGGAAGTATGGACAAAGAATTCAAACAATATTATGTAAGAAAACGGCAAATGTTTGTCAACAGGTTTCGCTGTACCATATCCAAGACAGACTCAGTTCCAAGGAATGCACTTCACATGCTCTTCATTTACCCACTCTTCAATTCCTTCCGGATGGCTTTTAATTTCACAGAGTGAGAACATTTAATTTACCCAAGCGAACTTTAGAATATTCTCAACTACACAGACCAGATTTTCCAACGTCAAATAACACTTTCAGTGAATTTTTCTGTCTGCTACCAATTTTTAGCTAAAATTCCAAGAATGGGTCAAATTTTAACCATCTTTAGCAATTCTTATTTCCAGTTGATATTTTCCTCTCAACATTGTCATTAAGTCATGAGTCATGACCCATGATTTTACCCCCAATAGCACGTTACCCTACCTTGAAGGATACATGGTATAAACTTAATTGCATTACTCTTATACATACATACATAGATACATACCGTACTTGATTATCACTTAAGTGATCATATTTCAAAGCAACAGGCTCTAGCTGATCAGCTGGTTATGTCCTCCCTTGAGGGAAAGGGTGATTCGAAGGTCAGGGGATATCTTGCAAATTACTATGACCCCTACTACCTAGTTACGGCAAAAAAATAAAATCAAGACTTGTCTTTATTATGTTAAGTTGCTGTAATCAGTTACTCAGGCAAAAGGGGAAAGATTATCTTGAAAGCAACCAACCGCATCATAATAAACTTGAGTAATTTGATCTATTAATGTGTTACTTTCTTTTGAAAAGGAAACCGGAGTATCCTATTATTCAAGTTAAAGGTGCCTGTGACAATTAAAAGTTACATGTGCTAAATTTTGCCATTTGAAGGAAGCAATAAAGAGTAGCGTTACATAATGGGAAAAAAAGTTACACCCGTACTCTCTCCTGGAATGTCTATGTTGTGGATTAAAAATGGACATGTGGGCCCTATATGTTTAGCTTTTGCTAATAAGCTGATGCAAGGGTCAAGATCAATCGTCCAACTAATGAGTTCAAGTGTGGCAGAAGCAGCCACTCTCATTTCATTTCCCAGCACAGAAATTTCCTGGACTGAAATAGCCTCTCCAAATGTAGTCTTTCTGTTCAAACAATCCCTTGTTATTATTAGTTTGAAGACCATATGGCAAATTTGTCAAGAGAAGGTATGGAAAGCATAATATTTACTACGTCGTGTCTATCATTTTAGTGGGGTTGGGGAAATGGGATTCTCGTTCTAAGAAATTAGGACACTTGGATGAAATATCACGGTCCATGTTTTGTTCTCTTGCCTGACTCCTGAGACTGAGTGTCCATAGTATTGAAGTTATTGTAAGCGTGGGGATGAAGAAATCTAGTCTATACAGAGATATGATGTGGAGAAAAGGAAAGTCTCTGCACTAGCTTGTTATTATGCTTTTGTTCTTATCTAAAGGACTTCTAAATTCTAAGGCTCTTGCCTAATCTTCCTAGCAAACAAGAGACCTGTCTGTTTCCCATGGTTTCCCTTCATTCTTCTTCTTCTTCTTCTTCTTCCTCCTCGCCGTTAATGATTCAAACTCAAAATTGACCGTTACCCCACCAAAGCTTAAGTTTGACAGTGATGGGGAAAATGTGAAAGTGACAGATGCAGGCAGTATTCCACCCTGACAGACTTTGTCAATTATTCAACTTGAATAAAGCTGACAGTCCATTTTTTGATTGCGACAGATGGGGCATGGAGCTGTAATTTGATCTACTACAGTGTTCTTATACGTGAGCTTCGAAAATTCTTTCGGATCGATTAAACCAAAAATTCAAATAGTTAAGGGGTACTGAACACACGAGTCCCGTTTCTCAGTTTATTGTCGTATGTTGAGGAACAGTTGAAGAACTGTCTAATGGTTACGACCCAGCCCAAAGCTTGATGATATTTAAATTCTTGTGAAAAATGTTAGATTTTATAAGTTTTAAGGTTTTAATAGTTCATGATATTTAAGTTCTTTGACCAATTTAGTTTAGGAAGATTCCCTTCAAATCCATTTTCTTTTATACAATTTATCTTTTGCAAGCATTGCTAGGGAAGAATTGGATCCAGAAGTCCAGTTGAAGCCCCAATTAACCACACTCCAAGATCTGCGTACTAATAAAAAAAGGGTAATTAATTTCCTCCAAGGAGAAGAGCCACAATCTTTGTTTTGGCCTCTAGCTATCCATGCAACCACCAGGAAGCCAAACAAGGGGATTTTAACTTTCGGCATCCTAAATAAAGTTGGTATCATTAAGTTAAAAAATTATGAGTTTCTCTAGTTTTGGCAAAGAATGCTGTGATAACTATCATGGAAAGGAGTCCCTGACTCGGATTAGTAATTGAAATGGCAACGTGTAAGTTTGTAACTCACAGGTCAGAAGAAGAAAGTGCGTTTTGAAATTCGTCTTTGGGCTCATATACATGTATACACCAGTCTCAGAGTGCCAGTAGGTTTTGGATTTGGCGTTGATATATTTGCAGCCCAACAAACCATGGAAGAAATTCCAAGGGCTGAAGATTTCTTAGTATTTCTCTTGATTGTAATTGTCCCCTCGACCTTGATAAACGTGACTAGTTTCTGTTTCTCACTTACCAGTTCTCAGTTGCTTGTGGCACTGACAGAGAAAAAGAAACAAAGCCGCGTGCGTGCGGTGCGGTTATCAATTTACAAATTACAAATTGAATAAAATCGTTGTTTGGGCTTGGGTAATTTACACTTGATTCTTACTTTTAGTTTTAGTTTTAATCGACTCCCTCGAAATCACAACTTCTGACGAAGAAGAAAACAACAACTCTCCGAAGTTTGTTAATTAATTCTATTTATTACAACTATAGTATGGTAAATAGAACACACTCTACGCCCCTCTCTCTCTCTCTCTCTCTCTGTGCAGCAGAGCTTTCTGCCACCCACAGATTCCCGCTTTGGCTCCAGTTCCCCAGAAATAATTACTATAATATTTTCTTAGCACCGATAACAAGACTTTGATTTTTACAAGTACTATCTGTCTGTCTGCAGAGTGCAGTGATCGGAGATGCCCAAAACGTTGTCGTTAAGCTGCAATTTCAAGAACCTTTAGTGGGGCTCTTCTGTTTTCCTTTCGCTAATCCAAACGTTGTTTTGTTGTTTCCCTGTTTATGTTCCAAAGCCACAACTTGAGAAACGGAGAAAAAACGTTTTAAGGTTTGTAAAACTTGTCTTTGCTACTTTCATCTCTGCATTCTTCTCCTTCTTTTTAACTATTTTATGTTCTGCTTCTGGATGTGACAAAGTTTTTGTTTTGCTTTCTGCTGTTTCCTAGTCAACAAGTCGTTGCTTCGATTCTTCTTTTTTATTTTGTTTGGACTTTGGACCTTGATGCTAATCTTTTCTTTGGTAGCTTTTAATATCAATATCAATCATTCTTCCAAGCATTTCTGCTATAACTCTTGATATTGTTCCTTTCGTTTTTTAGTTGGGTATAATGCTTCTATCAGTTTGAACATATCAGTTGGGTTCCAATCTTAGTACGGTTCTGTGGTCTATACGTATAGATAAGTATAATGCTTTTAATCAAACCTTTGGCTTTAATCATTAATTAATCAATGCTAATCTAATCTAAAACCCTACTTCGTTTCCTTAATTCGGCTGTTTCTTGCCGCTACCAGGGTTTTAAGGGACTTTTTCCGGAAATCTCTCTTCTTCTAGGGACTCCTATGTTCACTGTATACATTTAATATCATGATATGTTTTTTTAAACTCCATTTCTGTCTATAGTTCGAAATTTACTTTCTGTTGTCCAGCCCAAACAATCCGTCAGTCTTCTATCTTTATCAGCTTAGGCTCTGATCTCTCGAGGAATGGAATATACCGGCACTAAACCCCCTTCAAACATATCCGAGTTAGTATCCAAATTTGTCAAACTCTACAAGCTGAGATCCATTGGTGTTTTTTCTGCTGAAAATCCTTTAACCTCAAGCAAGAATAGTGCCTCGTTTGCCGAGGATAGCAGTGATAATACTGAAGAAACTGAATGCGATGGCGAGAAAATACATCCCCAGCCAGCTGCTGTTTCCTTCCAAAGGAATATATTTGGTGAGGCAGAGATCTTGAAGTTATTTGACACTGTTTCTGCACTAAAATCAGCTTATGTTCAGCTTCAGGAAGCTCATATTCCCTATGACCCGGCCAAGATTATAGCTACTGATGAACTTGTCGTATCTAATCTTGAAACACTTTGCAAGATTAAGCATGCATACAAAGAGAAGCAATTAAAAAAATCAAAGCTTGATTCGTCTTCCTTGGAATTTCTGCGATCAGAAGTTGAAGTTAACGAGAGGCTGTTAGAGAACTTAAAGTCTGAAAATAAAACCAAGGACTTGGAGATTGTCCGCTTGAAACAAGAACTCCAGGATTTGGCCTTCAGAAATTCAAAGCTGGAGGAGATAATAAGAAGGGGAAGAGTGGAGAGAAAAAATGCTAGGGTTCTGGACGTTACCATGTTTCAGAACAGCTTTGAAGCAGCAGCAAAGTCCATTCATGATTTTGCAAAGCCATTGATTAGCTTGATGATGGCTTCAGGGTGGGATTTAGACCTCGCAGCAAAGTCAATTGATGATGGAGTTGCATATGCCAGGAGATCCCACAAGAAGTATGCATTTGAAGCTTACATTGCGTGGAGAATGTTTCATGGAATGTTGCTTGATTCCAATAATATCAATGATATAATGAAGTTCGATGATCCAATTGATGCTCTTATAGACAATCCAAATTCAGGATTTGCAAAATTTTGTAGAAAAAAGTATCTTTTAGTTGTTCATCCTATGATGGAAATGTCGTTCTTTGGGAATATGGATCAGAGGAACTTTATATTGAGTGGAAAGCATCCACGGACACCATTCTACGAGATCTTTGTGAAAATGGCGAAGTGGGTATGGGTTCTACGTGGGATTGCTTGCTCACTCGATCCTGAAGCAAAAATATTTGTTGTCAAAGGGGGAAGCAAATTCTCGGACGTTTACATGTACTCTATTGTGCAAGACAGAGGAGGCCCGGTGGATTCTGATGAGGGACAGACTACTCAAAGGGTTCAGTTAACAGTCATGCCTGGATTTAGAATTGGAGAGAAAGTGGTGAGATCTCGGGTTTATCTTTCGTAGTAAATTAGCCAATTCGTAGACGCTGATCATTTTCAGTGTTGAGTATGTTAATACTTAGCGGGAGGTATTTGAGAACCTTGTTGCTTTTGAATGTTAAGAGGATATGGACGGAATGAACTCAAGTGCTCAGAGTCTTTACATCTCCCACCTTTAGTTGCAAAAAACCGTGTTATATGCCCCTTTGAACTGTAAATAGATATGTACTCCAATGATGCTATCATATTTTGGTTCAGTTCTATTATTGTCTGCTGCTGGTACTCTGATATTATTCAGTCCAATGTTTATTATGATTCCATTCATTTAACTTCGTATTCAGGTATCAACGTCTTATGTTCTCACTGTTTCAAAACATGCTCTCGTGCTTAATTGCAAGATAACTACTTGATTGAAGCCCCTTGCAAAATAACATTGCCATGACTATATGGTCGCTCCACGACATGCTATCTTTCTAGCACAATGGTTTTTAAATTTTGTTCTTATTTCTGATATTATAGTTCTTGTCTTTTTTGGCCAATTTGTGATATTGTAGTTCAGATTGTGTTTTCTGCTACCACAATTAAATCTAGGCCTGGTTGTCTATAAAAAAAAAAAAAAGAACAGACAACGGTCTTAGCACAAAATTGACAAATAAATGTGCTCTTCACATTATTTTCTTTGTTTATGTACTTGTATTACAAATATGAGCAACTAGCTGAGAAGAGGGATAAAAGAGGGGGGGCGGGGTCAGATTTGAAACATAAGAGAAAAAGTAGTCGTTAGACAGAAGAGTTACTAGGGACTATCAACATTGTCAGCATCATCATCAGCGGAAAACAAGTCTGTGCATAGCTCGCCATAGAATCGAGAAACCAAATCAATGAAAACAGGGCATGTCAAGTTCTTCCAACAATATAGGAGCTCTTCAACATCCATTAAATCGCTCACTTTCCCTTCGTCAACAATCATCTCAACTAAATAATTCTCAAAACTCCTACATGCATCTTCCACATCATCATAACCAGACGATTCCCTTTTACTGGAACCTCCAACCCTCGTATAAGATGGTGTAAGTGGTGAGGGGAAGAGCAGCCTATCGTGCCCTGCCTCGGAAAAGCTTCGAAGCTCTACTAGTTTATCCATCTTTCTGGACTTTCTTAGAGAGCGAAAAACAGATAGTAATGCAGAAGTAGGACTTTTTTTAGGAGCTTTGCTGACTTTGGCCTGACGAGGACGGGTTCTAAGAGCTCTTATAAATACTGGCCTTTTGAGCTTGAACCTGAAGATTCGAAGAAGTTTTCTGCATGGGTTGAAAAGCTTGGATCTGAAGGCAATTAATGCTTTCATTTTCGTTTGTAATGATTGATAGCAGAGTGCTTAATTTTGAAGGAACGCAGCGGGAGGGATGGTAGCTTTGGTGGCTTATGATTTCTTCTGGAGGGAAGCTGGTAATTAGCTTTGAGAAGGCAACTTCATTGGATAACAAACAAGAGGCAGAGATTGTTGAGGAAGGATGTTAGTTATTGAGAAAGAGGCGCTGTTGCTGTTGCTGTTGTTGTTGGGTTTGGAGTCGTGTTGTTAGGCTGCTAGTACTTCTCTTTTGTATGGTGTGGTGGGGACTTGTGGTGGCAGTGGGGTTCACGTTTTGGGGTTGTTGTAATCAAAGTGGAACTCCATCAACTATGTTGCCGTGCATTGAGGAAAGGCCTCTCATCAGTTGGTCAGGCTCTCCACTATCTTCGACATGGACTTTCGGGAAGAACAACTCATGCCAAATCCAACAAGCCAGAAGTTCCAACCTCCCCAAGAAAAACAAAAATCTAATATTCAGTATATGATTATGATACCTCTTGGAGAGTTTGTCAAATTGTCACAACCGGCAGGACTCAGGAGCCTGATAAAGCCACACTGACTGATTTTCCCCATAGCTGATGTTTAGTCAACTCACACTAATAACCCTTTTTTTTTGGTACAACTATTAGTTACCTAGTATAATAAAAGTAGGTAGACTTCTTCAAGGAAATGAAATTACTGCTGTTTGGTTGCCATCAGGAGATATTATTATTTTTGCTGGCTATAGCCTATGGGCTATGGCCTTTGCCAATTTGCCATTCAGTAGTTATAAATGTTATTTATTGAAGGAGTCAGATTCATGGGGTTGGGGCTTGGGCTACTACTTGTAAGAAAACCGAGCTGAATAGCAGTCAAGTAATCAAGTGGGCCTTAGTAAGATGATGTTTGAAATCCAATAGGGTAGGGGCTGCTCATGTAAGTCAATATGTGTGTGTGTGTGGGTTCTGCCGTGTTCTCAGGCTGGCATCCTTTTCTACGTTTCAGGGAGCACAAAGCTGCGATTTTCCAATTCCATTTATTTAGTTGGTACTTGCTCACAATGTTAGAATTTGTTGCCTTCAAAATGTGACAGTCACAGTCGTTACCCATACCCTCCTCTGCCTATGTCTCAAGATTGGATTCTTTATTATACCACAATAAGTTTTTTCTTATATCAAAAATTAAAAACCGAGAATTCAAATTGATAAAACTTTATGATTATTAAAGAATATGAAAATAAATTTATGATTAAAAATAATATTTACATACAAAATTTGATCTATATATATATATATATTTGAGAAGTGATTACTATTAAATGATAAAAATTTTGTCATGACTTTTAAACAAATATAAAAATTTATTCAAATCAATTGAAATTTTGTATACTTAATCTATTTCATAAGATTTATCAAACTATCCAATCATTTTGAATGGAAAATTTCATAAACCAGAAACAGATCATTGTTAAGAAAACATTGAAAAATTCAATTAAAAATCTTATAAATTTAGACATGAAAAATACAGTTTCATCAAATGAATATTTATGGTACGTAGTTATATACGATAGAATCTTAACAGGTTACAGAAAAATGGAAACCCATACTGAAATTGTGATTGGATATGGATGGAGTTGGGTTTCAACGCTAAGTACCTAAATCTTCGGTGCTTGTTTATGTGAAGAACTATTATTAGAATTAGAATAAAGTATTTATTGGATTGCATTTTTGTCCAACACTAACCTATATATGTCATGCCACACCAAGGGAACATCTACAACTGTTAGTTCTCAGTCTACGATCCACCTGTCTCCCTAACAGAAAGAGGACATTCTTGATTGAATCAACAGCTTGTGTCTTTGCTAGGGTACGTAACTTTATTTTATTTTATTACTCTTTTGCTGCATGCCACTAATTTCTCATCTCCTTTAAACCATACTTTCCTCGATTTGTTCCAATTGAAACCCATACCTCAATGATTTTAGCAAAATCTTCTTCATCGAAATCGAGAAATTTGAATGTAAGCGAGATGATGGAGTTTTCTTCTAGCCCATGCATGCATGGTCTCTATTCACTCCATATACGTGATTTTGAGTTCCAAGTTCAACACACGCTGATCATAATTCTGCAACGAATACTTGATGATTTGCCTTTCACGTCCTCCCAGACTCTTTGGACGTATCTAAACTTGAGAAGCCGTTATTGTCGCCTAGATCTAGCTAGCTACCAGCTATCAACATTAGGTATTGGGTTCTTTGAGGGGGCTGGGAGTGGGCTGACGACGCAGTCATTAAAGAAGAAACGAAAATCAAATCATTCATCCCTGTTACAGGTATTTCCTATATATAAATATATATAATATAATATTATATATATATATATATATATATATAACTTTTATGTATACACAGCTTTTGTAGAGAATGGAAAAGAGGTGTACACTTGACGTAGTCTGTTCTTTATTTTATTTTTTATTTTTTTATTAATTTTATTTTTATTTTTAATTAATTAATTATTTTTATTTTTATTAAATAAATTTTATAAAAAAATTAATGAAAATAAAAATAATAAAATAATTCATATTTGATTAATTTTGATTCATATCAATCCAATATAAGTGTTTTTTATTAAATTGAGATCAGAAGGAGTTTTTTTTTTATTTTATTTGATTGGAGATAAATTAAGGTATTTTACTTTGTTTGTGTTCACGTGACATCTTTTTTTTTTTTTAAGGTTTTTATTATTTTTTTTAATTTTTTTTTACTTTCTATTAGATAAATTTTTTAATAAAAAAAATCAATTGAGATAAAGTTGATAAAATAATTTATATTCGATAAATTTCAATTCATTTCGATTTAATTAATACACTTTCTTTTTATTTTAGGATAATTAGGTTAAGGTTTTTTTTTTTAAATCAAGCTTAGGTTAGAATAAGTTTTTGGGTGCTACATTTTGACTTTGATATATCTCGAGTTGGATACAAATTTAAAATATTTTATCCCATTTCGAGTGTCCACGTGATACTTTTCTTCTTTTTTTTGTTTTTTAATTTATTTTTTTAACTTTTTCTTTTTATTAGATAAAATTGTATAATAAAAAAGTTAATTGAGATAAAGATGACAAAATAACCTGTATCCAATAAGTTTCAATTTACCTTGATTCAATTGGTATTTTTTTTTAATTCAAGATTATTGGGTTGAGTTTTATTTTAATCAAACTCGGGTTAGATTAAGATTTTAGGTGTTACGTTTCAATATTGAAATATATACAAATTTTATTTTATTATTTATCTTGTTCTATATTTATATATTATTTAAAAAAATTTAATATCTTAATTTAATAAATTCATATATCATTTCATTTATTTTTTTGTCATTTTTTTTTTAAAATTATATTTATTAGATAAATTTTATAAAGAAAAAATCAATGAATTTGAGAATGGCGAAATAACCTATATCTGATGAATTTCAATTTACCATTATCTAATCAATATGATTTTTTAAAAAAATTAAGTATTGGGTTAAATTTTACCTCTTTGAATAATTTAAATTAAGTTAGGATCGAGTTTGAAATGTTTTGTCTTGATCCTTCTTGATATATATAAAAGAGTATATTTTAATATTTATTTAATGTTTTGCCTTGATCCTCCTTGATATTTATAAAAGAGTATATTTTAATATTTATTTAATTTATATTTATATATAAGTATTATATTAATAAAAATATTATTTAATATCTTAATTAAATAAATATTATATTTATATATAATTAAAATAATTTATATTAAAAAATATATTTATATTCATATGTTGTCATTTATTTAAATTTGATAAAAAATTTTACTTCTTTCATATTTAAAATATAATTCAAAAAATAAAAAACTATCTCCTAACGAAATGCAGATCTAATTCTAATATAAACTATTATTGAAATTCTCAATTGTAGATTTGCATTGCTTTACATTAATGCAATCAACCACCTTTTTTTTTTTTTTTGGTTTTTCTTTTGGATAGGAGAGACGTACGTAGCAGTCTCTCAGTCTATGGTTTAGTTGCTGAGACCACCTCAAAAAAACATTATTAACTACCACATTGCATTTAGCATTCAATTTGTGGGCAGCTGTCTGAAAGGGAATGACAAAGTATGGCACGATTAGCATCCCCAGCTCATGCTCTCTTCACCAAGAGTTTGGAGGGGAAAAGTAACTGAATGTCCAGCACCGGGCAAGTGGGCCAGCTGGTAATTAAGAGGTGGAAAAGACATGGAATTTCATCATTCGTGGGAGGAGGGAATTATGGGAAGTAACAACACTTGTAGACAATTGGCCAAAAACAAAAACAGATGGGTCTTCAATGTTTACCATTGTTGCATTGGAAAACCACTTTTTATAAATAGAAGAGGGAGGACCCCGAATGAGGAGTTGATAATTCCTGAAGAATCAACAAAAAAATTGAAAAATTGGTTAGCTTAAAGTCTGTGGATAGAAAGCCTTAAAACATAAAATTACCCTAAAAGCGTCGGAAAGAGGTGAAATGGTTTTGGATTTATAAAAATGATATTATATTTATAAATAAATATATTTTTTAAACTAAAAATTATTTAACACAAAATAAACAAATATATTTTTTAAATTAAAAAAAAAAAAGAGACTGTGACGCTTGCTTGCAGTCGAGAAATTACCATCCATAAATGATTCCTGATAATAACGCCATATGATGATTTAATGAGAAGGGCAAAAAAGAAATCATCTTTATACATAATACCCTTCTCGATATGAGCCTGGCTTTCGTGCTTGACTTTTCTAGTTGGGGGCCCATCTGTATTTTTACCTTGCATAAACTAAGCATTTGTTTCTATACTTGTTGTCTCTACAGTTTCCATCTGTAAAAACTTCTATTCTCATGCATTAAAATTAAGTAGAGGGGAAAGGAAACACAAACCAAGTCTGAGAGATGCATGGAATGAGAAGGGTCTCCAGGTGAAGTGACAAAGAAAGAGTTCTATCTAAGATGGGTAATTACAAGTTCAGGTTCTCAGATATGATACCAAATGCCTGGTTTTACAAGCTCAAAGACATGAGCAAAACCCGAAAACGTTACAGCTCTCACCCCCTGAAGAAGAAACAACCCCTCATCATCTTCAACGTCACAAAAACCCCACAATTCTAAGCCAAGATACTCCTATTACTTCACCAACGAACCTTTCAAAGCTGGCGGATTCCACAATTCACCTGTAAGTATTGAAGCCTCGGGCAGTCGTTTTTCTGATCCACCAAGAAAATCATTGAAGAGAAGAGACAGAAGAAGAACCGTTTACAAGCCTTCTCCCAGAGTCGTCTCCTCTGTCTCTGCTGGTTTTAGCTGTCATGCCATACTTAACTCAGTCCCGACCAACTCTACTCTTACTCAGTCTCCTGACTATTCTCTTTCTCCATTCGAAAGTTCCCCTGAACCCGAGTCTCTCCTATCAGACTCAGAGGATGATGACTTTTTCGCTTCTCCTCAGTCATACAATCTGCCAGGCTCATACTCGAATTCTTACAACTGTAAACTTAGTTCTTCAACTAATGATATCATCATCGACATGAGTAACGAGTCTTATACGAGGAAATTCGACAAGGTAGATGGACTTGACGCAATTTCTGAACTAGAGCTTCCTCCAATATTGACAAAGCGACCAAAGTCCAATCAAAAGGCAGATGAAGTCACCAAGTTGATGAGGTGTTCATCTAGATTAGAGGAGATTAAAGCACGCCGATCTCTTTCTGTCAAAATTGTTAAAGAAGAGAGCATTACGACTCAACAAGAGCCAAGGAATTGTCCTCTTGTCAGAAAATCATTTGCTAATTCTCCTGGAATAAAGCTTCGGGCAAATTCTCCAAAAATTGCTAGCAAGAAGATTCAAGCGTGTGCGAGAAAGAGCATGTCACAAAGTACGTACTTAAAGTCTAGGAATAGAAGCATTGCAGAAAGTTTTGCAGTCGTCAAGTTTTCGCTTGATCCACAAAGAGACTTCAGGGATTCAATGGTTGAGATGATTGTGGAGAATAACATCCGGGCATCGAAGGATTTGGAAGATCTACTTGCTTGTTATCTTTCACTCAATTCTAATCAATACCATGATATTATCATTAAGGCCTTCGAGCAAATCTGGCTTGATATGACTAGCCTACGCTTGTAAAATTCCTAGATTAATATCATTGCATTTTGTTGACTTCTCTGTTTTCAACTTTTTTTTTTCTCATTTTTAACTTATGTTGATTACTTTCAGTATTCTGATTAAGCAGGATTATCAATATTTACAGGTAAATTCGCAAATGATGATGAGTCAGCTTCATATTACTTTCACCTTCTCTGTTCATATGATATTCAAATGCTTCAAGTAAATCTGTTGACAGGACTGAGCACTGTTTTAGCATGAGTTTGGTGGATTTGCATAGACTCTTCTGTTGTGGAGTCAATGAATGCTCAATGCATGCTGTGATAGTTTAGTCGCAAAGCATAATTATAACAGAAGTAGCCACTAGCCACTTCTTGGATCATAATGAAAAATCTCATAATTATGTTAAAAAAAAAACCATGATTATTAAGCATGATAAAAGTATTTTAAGATCACGCAACTAGTCGAAGATGTTGTCTTTAAGTGGTATTCTGTCAAAAAAAAAAAAAAGACTTAGCAATTCCGGTAAGTTGGTTGAGTGAGATTACGTCCATATTTAATCAGGAATTACTCCATAATTTACTTGGCTACTTGTTAGTTGTTACTAAAGTTTATTTAAATTCGATTTCAAAGTTAAACTGATTGTTCAGATTCTTATCCCCCCAATGTCAGAATAAGTTTCAGAATGTTCTTACCAATTTGATGAACAGGTAATCCAGTTCTGATTAGTCGCCTTGAGACATATATAGATGATATATATAAGCTCTAGTATGAAAAGAAACCAGCTCAAATCCGCGGGATCGACAGCTCTTCTCAAAAAGAAGAGCATAGGTCCACAAATTATGCAGTCAAGTTGTAAAAGAAATTGATTGTCCCAAAAGCTTAGACTGCTATGAGTAAAGAGGCAGTTTTTAGGCCTCCAATCTTGTCTAAAGTTGATCCTTTGTTATAAAAATGCTGAAGGAAGGCTAGGCACTGAGGGATATGTGAGACACTTTAAGGCTTTAGCATATGGAAGTGATCAGTCTGCTAATGGTAGGGCTTACCTTGTCTGTAAAGCACAATACTAAGACGGTTAAGATGATAAAAAAGGTTCAACCATTACACATCTATTCTAGCACAATCTTCTTATCCAATTGTCACAAACTAAACTAAGCTGGTAAGTCAGAATCCAATAAATATATTACCGCTATAATGTATTAAATAATCTATGGCAAAAACCATCATCGCCTTTCATGAGATTGGGAATCATAATAAATCGTTGTAGTAGTTGTAAATATGGCAGCTTTGTGGCATGATACACAACACAAAGCAGGACCACCGACATTTCTGATGCTATGATAAATAATAATTAGTACTCTTTAGCAAAAATAGGTGGCTCTTCCAACTTTTGGCTCTAGAGGCCCACTTTATTGCTTGGGTATAATAGAGTCCATAGTGTAGGGATAAAGAAAAATGTTGCAACCGTTGAATATAAATTCAAAAACTGTTGAATGCTATTTATATAATTTTACGAATTAATTGAATTTAAATTTAAATTTAAATGATTATTATATTTTAATTAAGTTTTTTGTAAATGTTATGAAGCCTCTATTTCAGTTTTCACCTTGCTTGTCTCTTAGACTTGTTGAACTTGCCACATGGAATGGTTGGTTCCCATCCCATCCCGATCTTGGGTGTGTAGCTGCACAGGAATTCAAAGGAGCAAAAATTACTTGAAGAAAAGACAAACAACTCGAGAGAGATGCATGCTTTTGTCTCTCGTTTCTTTCAAAGTCTCTAAAATTGATACTACTATATGATTTAGGGTTTGTTTGTTACTGTGCATCTAACTTTTAGTAGTATGCTCCACCTAGAATTCAGAAATGGTGTAGTAGATTTCAAGGTTTTTCATGATTGTGGAATGAAAAGGATTGTCGTATTTTTTATGAAAAGGCACCAAATGTAGGCTCTAGCATTGCAGTCTAGCAATTTTTCTTCAGGCTAGTAAATACTAATCTACCTTGCCAATCGTACAACAATCATATGGTAATAATTTATGAGTGATATTGGAAAAACTTGGGAACCTGCTTCTGGTACTGGCAGAGAATCCAGAAAAGCAAATTTGGATGAATGATAGGATGCAATTTAAAACAGTGAATAGAATAATAAAACAAAAGGAGCTTGTTTCCTCCAAATCAGACTATAAAAACAGGTCCTAGATTGAATTTACACTTCCAAAGGGCGTTATGAAAAAAAAAAAATCACTGATTTTAACCTATATGCCGATCGAAGGCCTAAGAGAGAGTTTCCATTGGCCAGGGACATCGGACGTGGCATGGATTTTGAACCTCTGTAAGGACAAACATCACGTGGAAAGAAATTTTAAATCGAACTAGCACAGCATAAGGACCATCAGGGCATTATATACAAATGCCATTGAAAGTAATCAAGGACCACATGAGGATTGGGAGTAGCCAACCAGCCATTAACCTTTGCATACCCAGAAAAAATGAAAAAAATAAAAAAACCAGCCATTTAGCTCTTTCAGAGCCATATCATGATTTTGTACTTAATGCGTCTCTTCTCTTGCTGAAATACCTCTCAGGACATATTACTTTCAGAAATCTAGAAATTTTAATGTCCCAGTCTCTCTATCCCATATTTCCTTGTTCTGCTACCGCATTAAAGTCTAAAACAATAAAGAAAGCCTTTGCTGTCACCGCAAGTTGCATGAGAGTTACCATCATAGCATAAACAAAGTTGAAAAGAAAGCTATCTTTTGGAGAAAAAGGGGGGAAAGCATAATTATGAAGGGAGCACCCAAGGAATACTTTTTGGCAGACAATTGAACCCATGAAGCTGGTATACAAAAATCTCTACAGTTTAATCTTGTGAGTATGATATTTGACTCTACTTAAGCATGCTGCAGCTCATCATTTGGTTTCACCGTTTTTGCTTACAGACGTCCATAGGTATGGATGACAATGGATTGGGAAGGAGAAGGTTTTTACTGGTTCCGAACCAGAATTCAACCCAATTACATATATAAAATAATCGAACCCAATTTGATTCAATATTATATAAAATTATATATGATCTGATTTGACATAAAATTAATAAAATATTATTTTTAATATAAATATAAAATTTATTAATTAATTAAAAATAATTTTTTTTTATATATATCAAGTCGAGTAGGATTTGATTAACCTAAAACTTTACTTTAAACCTGATCCGATTTTGATTTTTTTTTCATTCAACCCGATCCGACTTGATATCTAATAAAAAAAAAAAAATCTAATCCTAAGAGATTGGATCATGTTGAAACCCACGAGGTACAGGTGAAAATGCCTTCCCTATCTATAAGTTGTGTTACAATGACAACCATTAGAGCCAGGGATTCTGGACATAGTCACATGTAGAACAAGCCAAATAGTGTATTCTTAGCCCTGTCAATTTTGCAGATTTCAAGCTTTTGAATCTGAATTTTTAAAATTATATTTGTTGCTTTCACGATCATCTCAAGCATTTAACTTTAGGGATTCACGCCTGTTTAGGAGAAATGTGCAAGAAGTGGAACCAAGAAATTAGGCAAAGAATCTTAATACGGATCGAACATCTAAGTTTCCCCCTTCAACGTATATCAACAAGAATCGACTAGTCTTTTCTGCATGTCTAATGGTAAACTAGCTTAGGACGTTCCAAGGAGAAGTTTTAGTAAAAAAAAAAAAATCCTAGAATATAATAACAGTTGAATTCGCAAGCTTCCATACAACAAATGTGCTAGTAACATTTGTTTAAGAAATGGATTTGCACATAATTTCTCTCTTTTGGACAACAATTTCCATCTCCATCATGCTAGGCGTTGGTAATGAAAGAGAATGTTACATCATTGTTCGTAACTTATTTTGAAACAGGCTCTATTTTTACAAAGATATAATATTTACACTGAATTCCATCTAAAACTACCTATAATCCGATGTACACTCAAATCCCTTGCGGCAGTGGTACTACACGCACCTTTCTATGGGATACAGAGAGTTAACCACCCTGATTACCACATATATAAGAGGTCAATCCAACCACTGAGTGGAGCATTTTTTTTTATCACTCCTTTTATTTGACCTGTAAAATTTGTGAGAGCTAGGATTTTAAATAATTCTTCCTTGAAGTCCTCTGTGTCCCTTTTGTAGGAACCTCACAAGGTGCCTGAAACCCAATATCCTCCACCGCTCCAACTGTCTTAAACAACCGTCTCTTACTAACCTCTTCTACCAATGATCGGTGTAGTAGTTGGCTCCTAATATCTACTAGCGACCGGTTCCTTGTTAATATTCGGTTGTCCATCACTCTCGAATGTTTATACCTAGAACTTGCATGTGATTCCAAAGCCTTACATTGGTTATAGCAATTCCTAGCTATTGACGGTCCGCTTCTCCAACTTTCTCCTTGGCAAAATCTTGTTGAGTTGTGAATTCTTGTGCTGAGATGTTTGCTTCTTGTTGTAGGGCTCATATCAGGATTGTGGTCATCTCCAGAGAAGTAACTCAAGTTGGAATATGTTCCTAACTGTGAAGAGCCCTGAGAGCTGGTATCATCAAGCAAACCATCTGCAATAGCAATTTTCGCCGGTTGACATTAAAATTTTTATGTTAACCTAGGACGTGGCAGACCAGTTTGAAGAAGTTAATAATTATGTCGATATCAAAAGAA